GTTCTGTTTGTTCCAGCCTCTTAGCAACACTGGAATACTGAAGTCCTGGCTCTCTCTGTGTGCAGGAAGCGGCCTGTGCGTATGTCATCGCCCTCATGGCGGTGTATTGGTGCACGGAAGTTTTACCGCTAGCAGTGACAGCGCTGCTGCCCACCATCCTGTTCCCAGTGCTCGGCATCATGGAGTCCAGAGACGTAAGAGTGGACACACTCCACAGCCGAAGCTCTGCAGTGTCCGTGTTGTTGTCGCCTCACCTGTACGATGTGAACTCAGGTGTGCATGCAGTACCTGAAGGACACCAACATGCTGTTTGTGGGGGGGCTGATGGTGGCCGTGGCGGTGGAGCACTGGAACCTCCACAAACGGATCGCACTCAGAGTTCTGCTGCTGGTCGGAGTCCGGCCTGCCCTGTGAGTCTCCGGGTCCACGGGTGTCTGAGGGGGGCTTTTAGGTCAAAGGTCACTTGTTAAATATTAACAATAGCAACGTTAGCAATTAATGTTTCTGTATGGGTAAAACCCATTTTCCTCCATTTCTACAGATTGATGCTGGGGTTCATGGGGGTGACGGCCTTCCTGTCGATGTGGATCAGCAACACAGCCACCACCGCCATGATGGTCCCCATCGTACAGGCCGTCCTCGATCAGCTCCTTGGCAATAGAAAAAAGGTTGGCGTTGCTGTGGAGATGGTGAAGATCCAGAGCAGGACTGTGTCTGTGCAGCAGGAGTGTCAGCAGAAGACCATCAGCATCGAGGAAATGGCCGACCCAAACATCCCAAACAAAGGTACGACACAGTCCATCCGGCTGATTCTGCCAATCTGTCCTGGATCCTCAAGTCAGTTCATAGTTCAACTGATGTGACCAATTCATTTCTAGATCTCAACCTGTCAACTAATCATAGTCAATCAGAGGACGCCATCAGCCCAGAAGACACCAAGACACCTAAGCAGGAGGTGATATCTGGGCATCCGACAGCCAATCAGGACGTTATCAAACCAACACCCCAGGACAAGCCTCCGTCAGACAGCAGCAGTCCAGGTGAGTTTGAACAGTTATGAGTGCATGGGCACCAGGACCAGGATGGTTCCCTTTTACCAGCTACTGCAGTGAAAGGTTCTCAATAAACAAGTTAATTTCAAATCAAGTCATTTCATCTTTTAACAAAGACTGAACCAGATCATTACTGAACTGGTCAAAGTGATCACATTAATGCTTAAGGTCAGATTAATTTCCTGCAGCTGGATAATAAATGCTTCTGCCAGAAAGTAACAAATTTTTCTTTGACTGATTAAAAGGAGAAAATTAAAAGTATTCCTCCTAACTGACTGGATTCATCAGGATTTAACGATAAATAAAACAGAGAACCATCAGCGTATGGATAGACAGATACAGAGCCCTGTGGCACTCCATGACTATCTGCTGTGTGAGAGACGTTCATCATCTTCATGCCATTATCCTGAAAACATCACACCCTTGAGTAGCAACTATTGTCCCATTTTTAAATATCACCACTAAAGACAGATTGAATCCCAACAATAAGGTTTTAAACAAAGTCTCCTTACATTCTCACAAGAAGATGAGTTGAATGGAGAAAGTAATCTGGCATCAATGAAAGTTTATCCAGAGCTGAAGGTTGTGACTTCTGGCAGTTTTGAAGCCTTTGTAATAGACCAACCAGTGAATACTTCCTATATCAAAGGACTTACACATAAAGGAGCTGATTCTTGTGGTGATCATGTTACTGTAACAGGTCAAACAAGGAGCCACGAGAAACGTCCCTAATGTCGGACTCTTTGTGCTCAGTGGTTCTGACGGTGGAGACCAACCAGGCTACACCTCAGCTGGAGCTGGAGGAGCTGAGTGATGAAGATGAGGAGAAGAAGAGAATGAGCAAAGGTCTTCTTCTTTCCGTGTGCTACGCTGCCAGCATCGGAGGCATCGCCACCCTGACGGGAACCGGGCCTAACCTGGTTCTGATCGGACAGATGAGCCAGTAAGAACCGACACTAAACCCAACCTCAGATCTGACCAGAACCAGAGGTTTTAGTCCCGGTGTTGCTGCTCCATTGACCAGCTGCTAGTTAGATACACAAATAGCTCCAGTTTTCCATTCCTAGTCATTCAGTAGCTTTAATAAGCTGACGCAGAACCAGCTGACCCAAAAGCCACTGATGGAGGATCTGTCAAAGTTCTTTCAGTGAACGGACTCCACTGGGATCTCCAGATTAAGGCGGTTTCAACTTCCCAGCAAACGATTGTCTCATTTCTGTCTTCTGTGCAGACTGTTTCCTCAGAACGGCGATGTGATCAACTTTGCATCATGGTTCGTGTTTGCCTTCCCCACCATGTTGTTGATGCTGACGCTCGCCTGGTTCTGGTTGCAGTTCCTCTTCGTCGGCTGGAAGTTAGTCGCTCCTCCAAAACAGAGACAGACGGCTCGTCTTGCCCGCAGACCCCTGAACTCCTTCTGTTGTTTCCTCTGCAGCCTGAAGAAGACCTGGGGCTGCGGCTCGGGCCAGTCCCACAAGGAGAAGGCCGCGTACGACGCACTCAAGGAGGAGTACAGGCGGCTGGGACCCATGAGTTACGGTGAGATCAGCGTCCTGGCACTCTTCGTCCTCATGGTGATGTTGTGGTTCACAAGGGACCCTCGCTTCATGGACGGCTGGGCCACCCACGCCTTCAACGCCAAAGCAGAGTGAGTAGTTGTGGTTTATACTGGAGCAGTAGCGAGATTTAGCATTTTGATTCAAACTGGTCCTGGGTTGAAATCCAGATCTTTCAATCTGGATCCTGTTCAAAGTGGAAATGAATGGCTCATTTCTACAGCAACGTGAAGTTCTAGATGCATGAGGCCTGCAGACAGAACCAAGCCCAGCATGATCCTGTAGCTGATTAGTAAACCGTCTCCTTAAGGTCTTCTTCACACATCCTAGTCTCCAGTCCACTGAGGCAAAGCTCTACAAGTCGTTGTTCACTGGGCTTCACTAGTGCCCACTAGTGTTCTCTAGGGTCCATGAAGTGTAAAACATGAATAAAGGTCAGAGGAATGAATGAATCCACACAGATCGCGCCTCAGGCCAAAAGCGTCCTGAACAAACAGGAACCAGAGGTGCAGAACAAGCACTGGAAACGTGTCTGCGGTTTCAAACACCAACTTTGACCCATGACTCTGCACTGGCTTAGCTGCTCGGCTGACTGCAGCTCAAAGGCCAACTTTATGCACTTCGGTAGGACACAAAGTCTGACATGTAATATTAAACTGAGCTTCACTGTAAGATAAATATTCCTCAGTGAAAGGGCGGACCACCAGGACGCTCCTTACAGACAACCAGGAGACACTGGAGTTGGACTGTTGAATTTAAAAACAAGTTGTTCTAGTTTCAGCTGCCAGACCCAAATATCAGAAGCAAAAAGGCCTAATACCAGAAAATGAAGGCCGATGAGAGGAGAACATCCTACAGCTGTAAAGCTCAGAGTGTTTCCTCAGGTCAGGGTCAAATGTGATGACATGATGCAAACAAACTGTCAGAGGACAAAGTCCACGAACTGTCCAAAACGTCCAACAATATCAGAGGACACAGCAGAGACCCTGATAAAAAGAACATCTGAAAGAAGCTTTGGAGAAGAATAACATTACAGAGGACAGGAAGTGCTAAACCCAGACAGGCCCAAGGTCTAAACTCCAAAACTCAGAAAACTGCCACGTACTCAACTCCCGGCAGTGTGAAGTCTTTAAATCTCACTGTTTGATGTAGAACAAAAGTCCTCACACCTGGGACCCTTTCCACCCTTTGTCCCATTTAACTGCACGGATTGTGTGACGGCGCTCAGGGGCCAGCATGGCACTGGTCTAACTGGTGGGAAGCTTTGTTGAGCAACTCTGAGCAGAACTGGAAGATTTTGGGAAAATTCCTATAAGTCGGAGCTGATGCCCAGCGGCGGGACCCAGCAGGGTCTGTTGGATCAGAACCGTTCAGCTGCAGGTCGTACAAACAAACGGGTCAGATTTTTCCTCTGCAGGACCTGCTGTGACCTTCAGCTGAGGAAACAGCAGCAGGGACCTGCATGACAAGGAGTCGCCTGATTGGTTCAGATGTTCAGAGCTCAGATCGCTACCCAGGTAATGCTCTAGCCGTGAGTCCAGATGTCTGGCCTTCACCCCAACCTGCTGCGGAACCACAATAACTTCAAGTTCATTCCAACTGCTCAGTGATTCTGGGGTTAAAGGTCAAACATTAGATCACAGGAAAATCTGAATCTGGAAAGAATCTGGATCTGAACAACCCTTGATCCAGTTTCCATTTCTCATGACTGTATCATCATCACAACATCAGTGTGAAAAATATTCACATGCCAAAAGACCATTTTTATTAGTGCAGTGATACAGAAGTCACACAAGTCAGAATCCGGAAGTGATCCGCGCCACTGAACCGCCATCTTGGCAGGAGAGTGCAGTGCAGAGCGTAGATGTCAAAAACTGTCTTTGACTAATAGCTGTAATTACTTACATTGTTCATAAATATGATAGGAAGAAGGCAAGAGTTAGTTCGGAGCTTGTGGTTGTTCATTGTTTTCATAGCAACTCCACAGCTACTGCCATGACAGCTAGTTATGGATGCCTACCAACATGGCAGCCACAACGTTCCTTGAAGTGTGACGTCACATGAGAACTATGTAGTGATGGCTGATATATTTTACAAGTTCTGGATCCTGAGGTTCTGCTAATATTGTTCCCACCTCACCAACAATGACATCTAGTGTTTTATACCTGGTAAAGAACCAGGACCAGAACCAGGACGGCTCCGGATCCCGGTCATGTTAATGAGCTCAACTGAGACCTTTTATTCAAGACTGGAAGCCCTCCAGAGGTCAGAGGTCAAATAGAGAGACACTGCCACGTAGAGACAGTGTGTACATGTCCCAGTATGGACCGGGTCGCTGAGTGTGTGCAAACAGTTGGGCCATTCATACCGGGTCCATAAAGTCCAGACTGCAGCTGATCAGGAGATCAGAGACATTTCCCACGTTGACAAAAGCCCAATTCTGCTGGGTTCTGCTGGGTTCTGCTGGGTTCTGTGTGTGTCAAAACCTGCAGCAAATTGACTGCAAGCTGTGTGTGTTTGCCTGGTTCCGTCTGGTTCTGTAGGGTTCTGTGAGTTCAGTCCGGTTCTGTGCGTCTCCGCAGGTTCGTCACCGATGCCACCGTCTCGTTGTTCGTCGCCATCTTGTTGTTCGTCCTTCCCTCTGAGCCGCCGCGCTACCTCTGCTTCTGGCGGGACTCCGACTCCGGTAAACCTCGCTCAGCACACACACTTCCTGGGATTCACATGTAGTCAGAGCTGTTTCTCCTCCAATCAGGGAGCCGGCTGTCTCGGGGCCCCACCTCTCCGCTGCTCACCTGGCAGGTGACCCATGACAAGATGCCCTGGAACATCGTCCTCCTGCTGGGGGGCGGCTTCGCTCTGGCTAAAGGCAGCGAGGTGAACTTTCCCACAAAAGGTCTGGAGTTACATTCCAGAGAAAATTCAGTGAGCAGGCAGAGACACGTCGCAGTTTAAATTCCTCGGTCATGACCTCATCATGTTGCAGGCCAATCACTTTCCAGAACAGCGAGGCTCCTGGGAGGAATCATGTCGGTTTCCATGTTTACAGGTGTCCGGTCTTTCCCGCTGGCTCGGCGCTCAGATGACGCCGCTGCACTCCATCCCACCGTGGGCCATCGCCATCATCCTCTGCCTCCTCATCGCCACCTTCACGGAGTGCGCCAGCAATGTCGCCACGGCAACGCTCTTCCTGCCCATCCTTGCCTCCATGGTAACAGTTGCGGGATGCCGACAGCTGCTTGTGGTCGGCGCAGAGTAAAAGCAGGTTTTGTTTTTGTGTTCTGGTCCAGTCCCAGTCCATCAGGCTGAACCCGCTCTACGTCATGATACCCTGCACTCTCAGCGCCTCCTTCGCCTTCATGCTGCCCGTGGCCACGCCCCCCAACGCCATCGTCTTCTCCTCCGGTTTCCTCAAAGTGTCTGACATGGTGAGTGCTGCCCGTGGCCGTGAGAGGAAAGGAAGAGCCACAATACTAACCTGCTGTTGTGCTGCACGGCGCCCCCCACAGGCTAAAACCGGCGTGGTGATGAACATCATCGGGATCGGCTGCATCACTCTGGCCATCAACAGCTGGGGGCGCGTCCTGTTTTCCCTGGACTCTTTCCCCTTGTGGGCCAACATCACTTCCCCGGTGTAGAACCCACAACCTCCTGCCAGCCGGGATCCTCCAGTCCTGAGCCTCCGGACGCAGAGTTCTCCGAAAACCGCTCCCAGCTTTACTTCATCTTCACGGTTTCAGAGAGAATTCAGGACTTTTTCCTCGTCCAATGTTTGTCAATGTTATGGCCTCAGAATACTGTGCAGGGGGATGCTTCCCTATCGCTGGAGGCTGCATCCATTCTGAATCCAACTACTGAATAACGACACACTGGCTCCGAGCTACCAGATCCAGCAACTGAGCAACCAGATCCAGCAACTGAGCAACCAGATCCAGCAACTGAGCTACCAGATCCAGCAACTGAGCAACCAGATCCAGCAACTGAGCAACCAGCACTGGCAAATAAGAAGGAAGCTACTCACTAGTTTTAGCTTTGGAGGGATTGGTCACCATCTGGATTGATTTCTTACTTCGCTCTCCATTAGCATAGCCTAGCATTAGCATTCAATAGGTTGGATATTATATGCCAACAGTTTTCTCAATAAAGTCTATAAAAGTGTAAGAAAGAGGTAACAAGTCTTTGCATGCTAGTTGTTTGCCTATCTAAGGCTGATACTAGCTTCTCCACAACTACTTCCAGCCAATCTGTGCTAACAGGACACGAGTTCCTCCTTCATTACATCACAAACCTTTCTCATTTCCTGACAGATTTCCTAAAAGCCCCACAAAAGCATCATGTTTCCCACCAACTTCTTGGTGAGTGTTGGTGCAGGTTTCACCACTGCAGAAGCAGTGGTGTAACGAAGAGGTTTAATTGGATTCAAATGTTTCTCTGTGTTAGCAAATCTAAATATTTATAGATACTTTATTATGTACATACTGTATGTAATTTGCAGAGTTTTCTATCGTCATGATCCCAAAAGTTTTATATGTAAAAAAAGTTAATCTGTAAATAAACGTGACAAAATTCACTGGGTTTGTGGTGTTGTTTCATCCAAACAGCATTCAGAACGTCCACAGACAGTGTTTTGTAATAATCTAGTTAAAGAATATTAAAAATCATGCACCTTTTAATCTCTGCTCACCGTTGGTAAAGACCGAATGCCTTCTAACATACATACATCTAGAGCATGTATCATTGGCATTGCAATGAGATGACACCTATTTCAGTTTGGCATAAAAATAGCTGGTTAGACATGTTGTTTTCTATAATTCTTATACTTCCACAAGTTGATTTTAAGCTTTTCAAGGATGAAAAGCTTAAAAGGATTTTTCAGTGGGTGATCTTTATAATTGAACTTGAGACACGTATACTGGTCTGGGTCAAATTGACCTGCTGATTAAAAACTTTTGAGTTTCCACTCAGTGTGTGTGGAGTTTGTCAAACGTTGTATGAACACCTGCTTTCTCGCAGTTTCCAAGTGAAGTAAAGAGAATAGTGAGAAAGTGGGCTTGTGTATGTGTGTGCACATGTGCATGTATGTGTATGGTGGGGTGTTTGTGCATGTGTGGGGTGAAATATGGTTCAGAGCTGCAAGGAAACTTATAGAATTGGACATTTTTTAAAATCTTTTTTACCCTTCAACTTTATTGTCGGGTCTACTTATTATCTGTGTAATAAGTAGATTAGTGTAAAACTAATAAATTTTCAATTTATATGTGGAGAGCACCTATTAAGATAAATGGAAAAAGTTTCATGAAAATAAAATACTTCCAACTATTTTTAAAAAATGCTTAAACTTTAAAACGGGTCAATTTGACCCGCAACGTAACAGGAGGTTTTCCTTCAATCCTTACTTGCTTTCCATTTCTCAACCCAGTTCAGTCAGCCCTCTGTGGCTGTTAAATGTCTCCCTCTGGTGTCCAGACACTGAACAACACAAGCCGTAAACTGAAATAAAAAGTCGTGGAGACACGACGGTTATATCGATGAATGTTTGATGGCGGACAGCTAACCCCAACAAAGATCAACTCTCTGCGTTTTAAAGACTCTATTTACCAGCTTTTTGGTCAGATTACATTTTTTATTTCCGTAATCTGTTCAGGGAATCCGTGTTGCCATGGAAACTGGTTAGTGGACACTTTTGTTGTTGTCTTCCGTTGTGACAGCAGGCTAAGCTAATTGTTTAGATGATTTCATCATTTTAAAAACAATGAAAGGGTGAAATATGCTGCGCCGGTGGTTAAGGAATCCTGTAAAGTTTTATTATCCAGTGTTTTTAGTTAGCTAGAAGAGTTTTATGTCGAATAAAAAGAAATCACCCTTAAAAGGATGTTTATTAAAACGGAGTCTGGTGGAGAGAGCAGGAGCTGACGGTTAAATAGATCATTTTCAACTTTAAAACGGGTCAATTTGTCGATGCTGCTCGCTGCTGAGTCAGGTTCTGTTTTGTTCTGTCCTCCAGACGATCAGGCTAAGAACCGGTTCCAGTCCGAACTGGAGTTCGTCCAGTGTCTGGCCAACCCGAACTACCTGAACTGTAAGTGACCCGGTTTCAGTCACCAGTGGAGCAATAAAGGAACATTTCACCAGTTTAACTGAAGTACTGGTTTAGTCTGAGCAGAAGATGAACCAAACCCAGACTGGTTCATCTGGAAGAGAATCAAAAAGTTTTTATATGATCCTGCAGGTCCTGCAGAATCTCAATCAGAACCGTTTGGGTTTCACCAGACTGACCTGTAGTAACTTTTAGTTAGTGTTGGATCCTTTCTGACTCAGAACCAGGTAGATTCTGTTCAAAACTAACTGGAGATACATAACACAAATAGCATGGGGGTTTGTGGAGCCGGTTCTGCTGTAGAACCCGTCCGTCTGCGGCTGACCTGGTTCTTGTGTTTGTGTTGTAGTTCTGGCCCAGAGAGGGTTCCTGAGAGACCGACCCTTCATCAACTACCTCAAGTATCTCCTATACTGGAAGGAACCCGAATACGCCAAGTTCCTCAAGTAAGCCCCGCTCCAGAACCTCTGACCTGGGTCCAGTTGATTCATCAGCACCGGCTCCACAGTGGAACCATGACCGCCGATCCAAACCGGGTCAGAACTCTTGGAAGGTTCTTCAGACCTGTTCAGGTTTTAAATCCAATTCAATCAGCAGTTCTACTGAAACGGTTCAGATTGTGGGTTTAAATGTTGGTTCCAGAGAACCAGAATTAGGCCTGATCCGGATTCTAGCGAAGGAATCATCCAGAGGGGTTCTGGACGACCTGGTTTGGTTGAGAGGGTAGAACCTAAACCTGAACCTGGTCCATCCCTGATGGGGTTTATGGACTCTGATGGACTCACACAAGTCTTACTCCTCTAGTCCTACTTTACTTAATTCTTCTTTCTCTAGATATTCTACATCTAGATTGCCAACATCTAAGTATTGTTCTATTTGTGTTCTTTATTTAGTGATTCTTCCAGTTCCTCACTTAGTTGGTGTAGTTCTTCTAGTTTCTGTAGTTTTTCTTCTTCTCTACCTCTCAGTGGATGATCCAGGTGTTCACTGCCCCCTCTCCCTGCAGGTACCCCCACTGCCTCCACATGCTGGAGCTGCTGCAGTACGAACACTTCAGGAAGGAGCTGGTCAACGCTCAGTGTGCCAAGTTCATCGATGAGCAGCAGCTGCTGCACTGGCAGCATTATTCCAGGAAACGCACGCGGCTGCAGCAGGCACTGGCAGAGCAGCAGCAGGCGCCGCAGCAGCCGCCGCAGCACGGCAACGCCTCGGCCAAGTGACAGACGTCGTTTGTGGACGGACGCTGACCGGGTCAGAGCCGGCTGGAGTCTTGATTGGGACAGAGCTGCAGCAGGCTGAAGGTTTTCAGAGCTGCAGCAGGCTGAAGGTTTTCTGGCCTGCTGCAGCAGTGTTTACTTCCTGTTTCTGCTGCCTTTCTTCTTCTTTTGTAATAAAATGTTTGGGTTCAGTTTGTTTCCGGTCATTTTGGCGCAGGTAAAAGGAAAAGAACTTATTATATCTCTTGACATTAAAAACTTAATTTAAAAAGTGAAAAACAAAAAAGTAAAATGTATTTTTGAAATATGATCAGTAACAGTAAATGTGTTTTGTTGGGACCTTTATTGTGAAGGATACAGAGCGGAAGTTCCTCTGTTACATCGTGAACGCGGTGAACCATTCTCTCTGTAACACTCTGCTTCCGTTATCGACCTTCCGGCGTTGTGAAGTGAATCGCGCCCCGGTAGAAACGCGCCTTCCGTCTTCAGGTACGTAGAGCAGCAGCGGAATCAAGCTGGACGTTAACACTCTGTACCGGATGAGTTTATCGATCATTACTGATCAACGTGACTGATCACCGACTATGTAAACTGTAAAGTGCTCAGCGCATTACTGTTGACAGGATAGCCACAGGCTGAAAAGTGTGGACGGTTCTGTTCGGGGAACCCTCCACAGGCCCCCCTCCCCCTCATGTTGTCTTTCGGCAGATTCTGGCGGAGCTTTGATTCTCCTTTTAGATGTTCTGGTTCTGTTTTTCTGCTGATTCGTATCCGGTGCATTAAAGTCGATCGGTTCTGTGAATCAGTGACCCCATGGTTTCCTCGGTCTTGTCTTTCCGAGGACAAAGTCCAAACTGGGTCCAGTCAGATGAGTGAGGTTATGAAACCAACCGATGTCCTGTTGAGTAATAAAAACACAAAGTTAACAACAAATAAAAGTTCTGTATCACTAATATCACACTTTTCCATTACAAATAAAATAACCTTATTTATTATACTTTTAAAATAAATATTCTTGTACAACAATAAAAAAGCAACTCAATTTTACACCCCTGATGTGTTAGCTTCCGCTAAATATCATGTTGATGTAGCGGTTTAGCATTAGCCTTAGCGTACACTAAACATGTTGTTTAGTGTACAACGTGTTTAGTGGTAATACATAGTGGTAATACCTATGTATTACCACTTAATACATAGGTATTAAGTGGTAATACCTATGTACTACCACTTAACATGTTACATTTAGCTTACACAAAACATGCACATTTAGTGCTTTAGTATTAGCTCATACAAAATATGCTGATTAAGCCATTTAGCATTAGCAGAACTAATGTTTGTCATTAGTGCTTTAGAGTTAGCACAGATAGCTCTTTGGTCAGCAGTGCCCTCCACTGGATGGGGGTGTACGTACATATTTGAACCTGTGAGGATCAAAGACAATCCCGAAGCAGAAAAACATCCCAGAACAAGTCTCCATGGCGACGGAGGTGTTGTGGACCCCATCCGGATTTCTTTAATGTGGGAATGTTTCTTTCCAGGCATGGGAATGTTTTTTTCCAGGTGGGTCTGAACCGGAACCACAGGATGCTGCAGCGGGTAGCGGTGGTCGGAGCGGGGGCGGCTGGACTCTGTGCGGCTCGCCACATCCTGGCCCGCCCCGTCAGCTTTGCCCCCCCAGTGGTGTTTGAGCTCAGTGGGAATGTGGGTGGGACCTGGTGCTACGAGGAGCGAATCGGGACATACCCCAACGGGAGACCGGTGCTCAGCAGTATGTACAGGGACCTCAGGTAAGGTCACCTGTCCTTCAAAAGGGGGATCAGCTGACTCCTCATGAGTTGTGACCCAGTTCTGATGTTCAAACAGAACCAACCTGCCCAAAGAAGTGATGATGTTCCCTGATTTCCCCTTTGATCCTGAGCTGAGCAGCTTCCTGTCCCACCAGGAGGTCCAGCGGTACCTGGAGAGGTACTGTGAGAACTTCCGGATCCGGCCTCACATCCGGGTGAGTCTTCCCGCTGATCCCGGAGTCCAGTAACCATCCCAGTCAAGATAACTGATTTATCCTCCATCACCAGTTTGACACAGCGGTAGAAAACGTCACGCCTGTTTCCACGACAACGGAGAACAGGGAGAGCAAGGTCACATGGGAAGTGACATCGTCAGACTCAACGGGTCATCAGAAAACTGAGACATTTGATGCAGTGTTCATCTGTTCAGGGTGCGTAGTGGGTTGCTACCATGCATGGTATCATGGCATGATAATGAAATAACAAGATGAAGCATGTTTTCATATGGGCTATAAACTGTTAGCATCAACAAACCCACTCAGAGTATTGGCTCACCTCTGTTGGTTCTGCCGGGTCTCTCTGGCTGATCCAGTGTAACGCTGAGCTCTTTGGTCCGTCATCGTGAATTTGCCTCAAGCCGTCATGCGAAGGTGGTGCAGGGCAACAGAGGTCGGTATAGAGGCCATCAACATGACATGAGTCTCTAACTAACCCAATCCTCAATTCTGCACCTCATAAAGGTCACTGACATTGACGATTGCTTCGGTTTCTACTCTCCTCGTGACACATTGTGGGTATCAACACAATTGAATTTATCACTTAGCCTTTGATACTGTGCTGGTTTGATAAGTTAGAACCAGCTACCGCTAAACATTGTGTTGGTGGAAAGCTTCAGCTTATCATTTTCTAACCACAGAATTACAGGAACACCTTATGGTTCCTGTACGTCTTAAAAACAGAATGTTATTCTGCCTCCTGCCACCGGGGGTCACTGTTGCTCCAACCTAACCTCTCAAAGGTTTAACGTCTGTGTCCTCAGGCATTACTCGGACCCTCACATCCCAAACATCCCGGGGATACAGAACTTTAAAGGTACAGTGTTTCTCTGAGTCAGGGATGGCAGCAGGTCAAACAGAGTAAAGACTTTCGATAAACGCTGTGTGTCTGCAGGAACGGTTCTCCACAGTCACTCGTACCGCTTCGCCGAGCCGTTCTCGGGTCTGACGGTAGTGGTTCTGGGAGCTAAAGCTTCTGGGCTGGACATTTCCATTGAGCTGGTCAAGGCTGGAGCCAAGGTACCATCAGAGTTCATTGAAACTATGAACCATTTTTAACTTGGGGTTCTCCAGAACTTACTGGGTCTTCCGATGACATCAGTCCAAATCGATGAATGAGAAAGCGTTTTCTCTGCAGGTGACTCTGAGTCACCGGAACCCTCCGCTGACTGTTCCTCTTCCTCCTGGGATCCAGCAGGCAAGCTGCGTGGTGGCGGTCCAGGACGATGGAACCATCCGCCTCCAGGTTAGCCCGTTCTGCAGAACCATCCACTTTGTTCCGGTTCTGGTTCCAAAACCTCAGAATGTTTCATGTTGAGGTGAAACCTCCCTCTGATTGGTTGAAATGTTTCCCTCAGGACGGCTCCGTGTGTCAGGCCGACGTTCTGATTTTCTGCACTGGGTACAACTTCAGCTACCCGTTCCTGGACCCGGCCAAGCTGGGTCTGGAGATCCAGAACCATGTGGTGTCCCCTCTCTACCGCTACATGATGCCTCCCGCCTTCCCTTCACTGATCTTCATCGGCATCTGTAAAATCATATGTCCCTTCCCCAACTTTGACTGCCAGGTGAGCCGCAGCATCCGCTGGTGAAGAACCTTGGGGAGTGATGACCCGTTTCTGGTCTCCTCAGGTCCAATTCGCCCTGGCGGTGCTGGACGGGTCGGTCGCCTTGCCGCCACAGGAGAAGATGGAGGAAGCGGTGCGGAGGGAGCAGCAGAGGAAACTGGAGGCCGGGGTCCAGCACCACCACTTGCTGAAGTTGGACCAGGACCAATGGGAATACTGCGACGCGCTGGCCGGTTCTGCCGGCTTTCCGCCTCTCCAGCCGGCCGTTCGCAGCCTCTACGAGGAGGTCTGGAGGCAGAGACAGGTTCACCCAGAAAACTACCGGGAGATCAACTACAGGCTGTTGAGCGCTACCCGGTGGGAGCAGATCAGCTGATCAGGAGGTCCAGCGGGTTCTACTTGGACCCGGAGAACTTCTCCATCTTGCATGCAATTCTGGTGCCATCTGCTGGTCATGGAGCTAACTCTGCGATTCTATAGCTCAGTAGTTCCCAGACCTTATCATGCCATGGCTCCCCAAACAGAAACCCAAAGCATGTCAAGAAACATCAACCTGCAGAATGTTTTTCTCACTTTTATTCACTATTCAGCAATTACTACATTAATTTATCATAATTTTTTAGGTTTGTAGGGTTTCTCTGCAGCAGTTTTCTGAAGGAACCTGCTGCTGGACCGTTCCTTCAGTTTGTTTTTGGTTAGAAACTTTTCCATTTTGCTGCTATGCTAGCTTAAGCAGCAAAGCACCTCAATGAATCAGTGAGATGAGCATGACAAATAGCATTTTAATAATGTTTTAAAAACTTTTAGAATTATGATTTTAAAACAGATTAGATCATAATTTTTTTATCATCTAAAAAATTATGATTAAAAAATTCTTTGATCCATATTTCTGATGTCGACAAGCGCCTCCTGGTGGCCCCCCTTGGGGCTGCAGCCTCCACTGTGAAAAACACTCTTAGTTCATGTTGCATTTGAAACACTCTATCATAATTATCTCAGGCTTATCATTACTCATCATTATCATCACTATATGAAATAATTTCCATTAATCTGTATTGATGGCATAAATAAAGTTTATTCTGTAAAACTGGTCGTGCAGATGAGTTTATTTTATATTTTATCTCCTGATTTATTTTTTATTTCACCGTCGGCTTTAATTTGCAACTTTTAATAAACATTAAAAGTTGCAAAACACATTAATTCAATATGAATTCATGTTCATTTATTAATGAATAATGATTAATGGCAGATTGATAATAAATGAATAAACTAATAACAGATAAACTCTTCCTGCCAGGATTCACACAGAAACCTGGAGAATGTTCATGATTGGCAGAATGTTACCATGTGGTTTAGGTTTAATTGAAAACATCTAAAGTTCTTAAAGGAGGTTCGGTCTAAGCGGAGATGACCCGATTATTGATCCGTGTGAGAAAACGGATCTTCTTGGTATCATGAAGGATGGACAACAGCTGGAGTCACAAACACTTTAATTCTGACATCAAAACATCCAAACTAATGAGGTCCGAAATTAGAAACAACCTGAGATTAAAACAGCAGGAACACCAAAACCATCACTGGTCCGACCAGAGCCACCGTCGGTCCGACTGAGAGCGGCTCACTCACAGCTTCTGAGGCAAGGTTGGGTTAAATTGTTTGTAATCCACCTTTAATCCCAATCTCCCAATCCTAATCTCACATTGGTGAAGGCAAACCTGTGGAGGTTGTCGGGTCTATCAGGTGCATCTTCTAGAACAATGAAAGTCCAATCCATGATCTCACCAGCTTCCTGCCTGGAGCAATGCTTCATGGGAAATGTTCAGGTAACTTATGATCAGTGGAAGCTGTTAAACACAACAACTGAGGAAACATTTTTATCTGTAGAGCAGGAGGGCCCAGGCACCAGTCTCTGGATCTGTCTCTGCTTCATCACACAGAGCAACATGTCAGTGGGTTGAGCACCAAGTTGCTCATCTTCAAAGACGATTTGTGAAGTTGAGCACAGATCATCTTTGAAGATGATCATGAATCAACTTCAAAGGTCCTAGAAGATGATCCGTGAAGACTTGGATTCATTCTCCATCTGCAGCTCCCTTGCTACCTTCTCGGCCGCATCCTGGTCGTCCTCTCCGCCTCCTTCCTTCCTAAGTATTGTTAATGGCCACCAAAGGGAGCCATTTCTTCTGTCCTGGTGCACTGTTCGTTCCGCTGGCCAGCAGCAGGGGGCGCCTTTATCTCCTGTCAGGAAGTAGAGTAGGGCGTTGAGCCAGGCGTTGCAGGAGGCCAGAGGCCTGGTGACCTTGTAACAGATGGAGACAGCCTTCATGGCATTGCAGCCGCCGAGCTGTCCCCGCCGCAGGAGCAGGAACAACGTCCGGGTCACATGAAAGGGCAGGAAGCAGAGTGCAAACAGCAGCGTGATGGTTACAATGGTTTTAATGGATTTGCGCCGCCTCCGGATGTAGTGGGAGTACTGTGATCCAGAGATGGAGACTGAAGTCCTCTCCCGATCTCGACCTCCTTCAACTGCTCCATCCCCAGTTGATGCATCCTCACCGCCCTCTATTGAACTGGGTGGAGACCGCAAGCTCTGAAATATTGTCTGGACCACCCGAGAGTAGCACCATGCGATAATGACGAAAGGAACGAAGAAGCCCAGCAGGTGAAGGACAATGCCATATGGGACGTACTCAGGAAAGTCCTTATCAATGGCGTCGTCCCAGCAGTTCACATACGTCTCCTCAGTCCTGTTGTCTCCAAACCTCGTCCCCTCAGGTCCAACTGCTACAGAACCTCCTCTAGTAACGTCTCCTGTCTGGGCAAACCTGAAGATAGGACAGGTGAGAACGAAGACCACCACCCATACCGAGGCACAGGTCGCCTTCACCACCCGCTTGCTCTCCAGAGTGATGGTCCTCATTGGATGGCAGATTCCCAGGTACCTGCACACACATCAAGAGTTAGCTTACATGGCCTCGTTCTAACTCCATCAGGGACTAACTGTTGGTGACAGACGAATACTCTTTAGAATACTACATTAGTCTCTCAAGTAATCAATGGTTTTATCAATGGACCACTGCAATGTCTGTTTATACTAAACCAAGACAGGACCACCCAACTCTACGCCAATGTAGAGTAAGTGGTGTCTGATAGACATCAGACACCACTCATATTATACTTGAGTATAATATGAGATATTTTCCATGTCTGCTGACCTTCAGGTGCTCCAGTACCTGCCTGTAAAGCCCAACACACACTCCATAACTACACATTATAATTTGTCTACACCACACACAATCAGAAATTATTAATGTCTCGAATGTTGATGTGTTTATTCATCTCTCACACTGTCCTGCTTCTCTTCAAATAAAAGACACCAGGATACAGGAACTCCTCAGCTGTTTGCAGAGACTCAACATGGCCTGTAGGGAAAGAAGTGCACTCCTGGTATTTGTGGGAAATAAGGGCCATAACGTCCTGAGAACAGCTGAAATCCATGAATGCTCCAAACTGCCTCTTAAAATGCTTGCCACTGCCTATCTTAACAGTTTGAACATCAGGTATACCTTAATATGCATTAATCCAAACAACGGAAACTGTCTGGTACTACCGCAGAAGCACTTGGGCTGCAGCCAATTGGTACCTCTGCAGTCTGTGACTAGGTGAAGGTCCACAGTATTTCACCTCTTACCAGTTATGCAGATGCCACCATAACTACCAGAAGGACTGCATCATGTGAATAAAAGCAGACGACTCCATACACCTTATAATCTGTCCATAAAACCCATAGGCAGGACAAGGAAGAGGCAGATGTTCTGAAGAGTCCAACTGTCTTCAGTTGGACCCTTCAGAACTCCAGGAAGTGATCAGTACTGTAAAAATAAACTAACAGGCAATACAAGTTAAGGTTTAATACCTTCCAGTTTACTGCAGTTTTCTGTTTTCTGTGGTCTAACTTCTTTGTAATGAATGGATGATGATTGATATGGATGAAAACCAAACAAATAGTGCAGAACAAACATATTCGTCAAGATTTCTAGCTTCTTTCATTAAAACTGACTGGCAGGTTCAGCAGTTTTACTGACAGACCCAGGCTCATTGACCCAATGGTCCATCCAACGGGGTCACGCACTGTCAGATTTAATGGAGTGTGACTAAACCATCATTAAGCTTCCAACGGTGGAAAACACTTTGGAAAATCACAGAGTGAAAGGAAATCCACAGGGAGTCAGTGGCTGACCAGCAACACGCTGTTGACTGAACCGACCAAGAATAACAAAACCCAACAAATAACAAAGGGTTCCTCAAGTCGGAAGATTTGCAAAAAAGAAAAGAAAACACATCCAGAGTATTTTCCACGCAGCCTTTAAAATCCTCCAGGAAATGAGTTCAGGTTGTTCAGCAGTTTTTCTGCTTTAATACTAAACTCTGGTGAACTAGGCCAAGGTTCCCCTGGCTTCAAGGCCTCTGATTGGCTCAGAGGTTCCCCTGGCTTCAAGGCCTCTGATTGGCTCAGAGAGCCATAGACCCTCAGACGTTTCGTAGCTACTGTCCACTAGTGACTTACAGTTCAAAGGTAAAAATCATCAAAAATTAACAATACCAGGAATTTACACAAACTGTCCATGAACATGGGCAGGTGTACCTTCCTGGGAGGAACGGACGGAGCTTGTTCAATCGCCTGGATGAGTAGGAATAATTTAGAAAGAAACAGAAATACTTCAAGCATTGAAGGGACTTTCAATGTTTCCAATAAAAAAGGTTCCCCTAAATGTTGGTTTTATTGACTGGAACCAGTGGTGCAAAAAGTGGGAATGGTAAATATGCTACTCTTAGAGGCGTTGCACGAGAATGTGTAAACGATAAGATCAGTAGAAGAAGCACATGGGGACTAAAATGTGTCTGCATTCATATCAGAAAACTGTTTCGCCCCCAACTGGAACCCACAGCTTCATGACGTAGAGCATCTTACCTGTGCACAGAGATGCAGGTGAGGAAGAAGATGGAGCAGTAGAGGTTGAAGTAGAAGAGGAATCGTACGAGGCGACACATGAAGTCCCCGAACACCCAGTGGTCCCTCAGCACGTAGCTCGCCACCAGGAAGGGCAGCGACAGGCCGTACATCAGGTCTGTAGTGGCCAGGTTCACCATGTAGATCAGGGAGGTGTTCCAGCGCCGCCCGCCGCCACCGCCATGGGGCCGGCACGACCGCACCAGAACCACCGAGTTCAGCACCAGGCTGAACAGGAAGGTCAGGGAGTAGCAGACGGGCAGGAAGACGTACTTGTAGGACTCATCGATGCTGCAGGAAGACGGAGGCAGGGTGGAGGAGGTGGAGGAGACAGAGGGGGTGGAGGTGTTGAGGCTCACCGCAGCCAGGTAGCTGATGTGTGGAGTGGAGCTGGAGACCCGGTCCAGACCCATCACGAACCTCTGAGGGTTAAAGGTCAACCCGATCCGAATCCACCAGCATTGTAACGTCCAAGTTCCATCTGTCTGTCTGTCTATCTATCTGTCTATCTGTCCGTACCTGGCGCCGGACCGATCCGGACCTGATGGACACAGAAACAGCCTCATTAGTGGTTGCAGCTTGTTGTGCGTCCTGCCGTCGTGTTCTGCTGATGAAGGCTGCGTCTCGCTCCATTAGCTCCTGAATGATTAACGCGGTTTTCCGGAAGCCTCTCCTCCCCGTCCAGCAGGTCGGTTCCAGCTGCTGGAGCGTCTGGGTCAGGGTTGCATCCAGAACCAGTCCAGAATCAGCTCAACGCTGACGGACAGGTCAGGTGGAAATTCTCTAGACTTCCTGTTGGATCTGCCACTGATGGTATCAACCAGGCAGTTTCTCATTTCTGTGAACAAGTCTCAAATTCCTTGGAGCTGCCATGGAACTGACTCTCTGCTCATGGCATCATGGCGTACTGTACGGGTTTCTGCTCACTCATCCTGACCATCGTTTAAGCAAAGGACTCAACATCCAAACTGGTTGAACAAGTTGCCATAACAAACATATTTATATATTTTCCTGAACTGGTGAGTCCGGACTTTTTTTAAGTAAAGCTTCAAGTCGACAAATGATGAGCCCTCTGGTTGAACATCCAGCTGGATGATGGATGTTCGTTGTGATGTGAATTATAGTTTGGCTCCCAGCAGCAGGAATGTCAGGATGTTTAGGAAAACTGTCATTCCTGTAGAGCTGCATGTTCTCCTGTCTCCTGTTCCTGTTTCTACTTCGGTTTCTTTTTGTTGTTGTTGTTGTTGTAGTTTTCTTTCCTCATCACAATCACCTAGTTGATCATCAAATGACAGTAAAAGCTACTGTCATTTGATGACCAGGTGTCCAAAGAGTGGTCCGAGGGCCTTCTGTGGCCCTGATGAATCAACATGTTGATCTTTGAACAAGTTTTTTGTATAATTTCATATGATTTGGTGAATGTAAAGGTTGTCTTTGTGTCTGTTTTTCCTTCTGACTGAGCCAGCAGTTTGCTTTGTTATTTCATGTAGTGCCCAACCGATCACCTTTCAATGTTCAACCGTTTAATAATTGATTTCTGCCTGGCGACAAAATAAAGAGCAGCTCACTCTTTATTTTGACGACGGCTCCTGAACGCCTCACGTTCTGTTGGGCTGATGATTATTAATATTATTGCTGATCAAACTTTATGTTTTCTCAGCCTCCCTCCTCTTCCTCAGATTTGGATCTGACCTTCATCACCTTCATCATGTCTAAATTATTGATGAGCCAGAATGAAACCAAATCCACAGACTGTGGAGGCAGAGGAAGAAGATGAAGAGGAGTAAAAGGAGGAAAAAGATGAAGAGGAAGATGAGGAAGAGTAATTGTGGTTCTGATAATGTCTTATCTTTGAAGTTTCAGATCACCATCATCATCCTCAGATTACTCTGTGATGTTCCTGATGAAGATCTTCTGGAACAACTTTAATCTTCATCACTCGGATCAACACAGACGTGACTTATTGTTCTGGTTCTGATCCATGAATCAGAACCAGAACTTTTTGTTAGAAAGAAGGAAACTCAGCTCACCTTTGCTGCTGTCGCCTCTCTGCTTCTTCTCACCTTCATCATCTCAGCAGCAGTAGCTCCTCCTCTTCCTCCATCATCATCATCATCATCATCCGGCGGCGCTCAATGATCCCAGGCTTCCTTGAAAGCCTCATGGTGATTGTTATCAGAGCAGCAGTTGGAGCAAGAACCGGGCCTCGGTTCAAATGGCTGGTTCTGAAACGATGGACCAACAAAGTTCTACTAGGTCCAGAACCTCCTGAAACTGGACCAACAAGTACCGAACAGAACCAAGATACCATTAAAATGATCTGATCCGTTCAGAACCAGTTTCTGTCTGGTTCTGTTTGGTTCTTCTGGCTCAGAATAGCATCATTTAACTTGTTTCTTCTGATTGAGTCCAGAACCGTTCAGGCTGTCCATCTGTTATCCGATCTGAAGTGAACCCAGTCCTACTGATTCTGATCAGGTTTCCACTGAACTTGGTTCAGAGACAATCAGAACCAGACAGAACCTAAGAGCCGGGTTGGTGTCAGAATCTCCAGAAGAAATGAGCAGAACCGGGTCAGAATCTCATTTTCCTCCAAATATATTTAATACAGACTTAAACAGTTTGTTATTATTAATTCATTGTATATAATAAAGTCACAGTAAAACTTTCCTCAGTTTTTCACGTTTGTTCAGATTCATGAATAAAATAGAAACATGAATATAGTTTAATATTAAACTTTAACCTGAATCTGATCAGAAATAAACACTGAGTTAAATAAACCTATTGATTCATTTCTAATCAAACTGATTGCTTTCCGGTCTGGGTCGATCAGCGGTTCTCCAGAACCCGCTGAACAGAACCGGAGGTCCGTTATAACCCAGTTCTGGTTCCGTCCAGGCCTTCCGGGTGGTTCTGTTGGACCTCTGTCCGTTGGTTTCCCCCTGGACGGAGAGCGGCATCCCGACCCGACAGCAGCTCGGCCCGGTTCTGGTTCTGGAGTCACGTCAGGTCCTGGACGTCCAGCAGCATGGCGTCCTGCTTGGTCCTCAGCTGGTCCCGGACCAGCAGTTGGGCCACCAGCTCTGCGCTCAGCGCTGGAAGGGAAACATCAGAGCTGTTATTTCTGTTTTTCTACTGGTTCATTGAATGCCACAAGCCTGGCTTAGAGGCAACAGGTGTCATCATGGTAACCATCGAGAACAACTGGAGCTGAAATATGATAGCGCTGTCAGTCATTATCTCTCTCTGCTACCTGCAGCTAGCAGAGGCTAGTTAGCATAACCATCGCTTATGGTGGATAAGCAGTTTTCCTAACAGTAAGTTGATTCTCCAACATGAAGCAAGTTGGAGAAACAACATGATTGTTATGTACTCATAACAATCAGTGCTGTGAGTACATAACACTGATTGACAGCACTAGGCCCCGCCTCCCGGCTCTGATTGGTTGTTTATGGTTATCTCAAAACTAACATGGAGGCGGCTCGAGAAATCTGTAAGAACATTTTTTTTTTTTTTATTTAACTTCCTGCTGGAACTGAAAGGTTATCCTGAGATTTACACCAGATGAGGGAACCGGGTCAGAACTGGTCCCGGCCCAGTTCTGACCCGGTTCTCCTCCAGCTATATCCTGGGTCTCACCGTGGATCTCCTGCTGCAGCGCCCCCCGCAGGCCGATCAGCTGCGTCTCGCTCAGATCCTTCAGCTCTTTGCGTTCCAGATGTTTCCGCTGGGCGACACCACTGCAGCTGGCCTGGCTCTGAGACACACACACACACACACACACACACACACACACACACACACACACACACACACACACACACACACGGTAAGCAGCTGTACTTCCGGTTCTGACCCGGTGGTTTCCGGCCCAGTTTTTACCTCCTGCTGCCTCTGCTCAGCCAGCAGATTGTCTCTCAGCGCTCTCAGAGCTGCTGCCACTTCCTGTTTCAACCCGCTGCCATGGCAACCATTGTGTCCTGCTCCCATGGGAACCTGAGGGGCCCGGAAGGTCAGAGGTCAGCAAACTGCAAAGCAAACATATCTTTGGTATTCTGGAGATGTGGCACAGGTCAAAGGTCATATTAATGATGATGACAATGAACCTTCCTGTCAGCTCCTTCCTCCTCATCATCATCCTCACTGTCACTGTTATTGATGAAGCAGAGCTGCAGGTTCCTGTGGTTCAGTCTGGAACACAGGTCAGAGGTCAACAGAGAGGAAGTCTAGCTTTCTGCTGCTTAGATCCATCAGGAGGTCATTGAATACAGAGGATCTGATTGGCCGGGACAGGGACAGGTATGGGGGGATGGAGAGAGAGGGGGGGGTGGACTAGATAGCGATGGATTCAGGGACAGGGAGAAGAATCCAGGAGAAAAGTTCTGTTGTTGTTATTTTTACCGTGACGTGGAGACAGTGACTCGTCCCCTCCTGATGTCGTCCTCCTCTTCCTCCCAGACATTCTCCGTCCGCAGACCCGTCCTCCTCTGGAGACACAGAACGAGAACCTTCAGTCCTACCCAAACTCCAGAAACACACTTTTCGGTTCTGAAACAATGGACCAACAAAGGTTCTGCTAAGAGGTCCAGAACCTCCTGAAACCGGACCAACGAGAACCGAACAGAACCAAATTAACATCACCATGGCCCTGCTCTAACTGCTGGGGATCATGGGAAATGTAGTCCTCAGCAAACAGACCTTTGACCTCTGATGATGATGTGACCTTCCTCACCTTCTCCCTCCTCTCCTGCTCCTGCTTCTCCAGCTCAGCGATCCGCTGGCTCAGCTCCTCCCAGTGCATGATGGGAAACTCCTGGTGTTCCACTGGGATGTGATTAGAATCCCTCTCCTTCTCCTCCTCTGCTGGCTCTGTTTCTCCCTCCATCCTCCTGGAAACCAACCAATTAGAAACTCAACCAACAGATTTAATTACATCATTATGAACTAACCTTTTAATATCTATCTATCTATCTATCTATCTATCTATCTATCTATCTATCTATCTATCTATCTATCTATCTATCTATCTATCTATCTATCTATCTATCTATCTATCTATCTATCTATCTATCTATCTATTAATTCTAATCTAATCTAATCTGATCTGGTGTAATCTATCGGGTTGGACCCTCCAGGTCCAGCGGGGTGTGTCGCTCCTCTCCCCCGCCTCCGGTCGCCTCTTCTCGGCCGCATGTTGTTTACCAGCAGCGGGGAGAAGCTCCGGAGCTCTGACCCACCTCGCAGTCACATCCAGGCGGCTGCGGATCTCCTCGACATGCCGCCGTCCCTCCGCGGGCCCCGCAGCCCCGCGGGGACCCGCTGCGTGTTTTTGCTCCCGCGCCACGCGAAGCCTCGCAGTTTTTTTTTTTTTTTTTGTCTTCTGTTGTTTCACGGAAACATTGGAGGAAAGTTTGCTTGAAGAGTTGTGGGAGCGGGCCTGGAGGAAGGCTGGAGCCTCCTCTTCCTCCTCCTCTTCCTCGGGCCTCCGCCCACAAACATCCTGCAGGAGGAGGAAGAGGCGCAGGGAGACCTGACTGCAGCTTCGGAGAAAAGCACAGGAAATAATCGGTTATTACTCCCACTCAGCGGCTGGCGGAGAGTGGCAGCATCATGATGAGGGCTGAGCACTGATGACTGCTGAGCAGCATGGCGCCAGAACCGGATGAAACTGTATTTATTCACACATGATGAATTTATAAAATGATTAAGATTCACTTTGATTCTAGTCTATTTTAAAAACAAATTGGATCTGTCAACATTTTGAATAAATTCCCTTTTTCACCATCTAAATGAATGAATCTAGTTTTATGAGTTACTTCTCATAATAATTGTGTTGCAGCTTCTTTGTCTCATGTTTATTATTGTTTTGTGTTGAATATTTTTTGTACTTATTAATTTAAATTAAATTAAATTCATCTGGTTGGAGGAAACGGGTCGCAGAACTATTCCAGAACTCAACAGAAAATGAACTGTGAATTGAGAGTCTGATTGGACTAGACCCAGTACCGAGCCCAACAGAACGCAGCAGAACCTGGAGGATCGCTGGGAGGGTTCACTGGTTCTGGTTCCGCCCGGGCGGTGAAGCGTAACCGGACACCACGTCGAGTTTCACAGATTCACTGACGGCTCGGCGCAGATGGACGGTGATGCGTTCAGGGACCCGGAAATATTCCTGGACCTGGACCGGGCTACGGAATCTCACTGCTGGGCCCAGCCTGAACCTGCCGGTTCCGATTCCGAACCTCATGCAGGGTCAGCTGCAGCAGCAGCATCTGTCACCACCTCACTGTCTGTTTGTTGGCGTTTGGTTCTGATAAAAATCTTTTCATAATAAACTTCAGGTTTATTATATAAATGCACGTTGTCATGGAGATTGTTCTGGCGCTGATGCATCAGATGTTGGATAAAACAACACATGTGTTAAACAACTTAACTTCTTAATCTGAAAAAGTGATAAAAGTGATTTAGTTTAAATATAACCTGTGAGTAAATTCACTCTTGAATCATTGAGTTTCTCTAGAGTTTTATTAATCATTTAGTTTTTTAATTATCATTACCCAAACTGGATTTGGACAGAAACTGTTTGCCATAAAACTAAACCAGCAGCTCCTGATGCTTATCGTAGCTGAAGTTCCGCCAGCAGCCACTAAGCGGCGCAGTTTCTCCATTTCCACAACTACCTGTATTTGGTGAAGGACTATATGTTGTAAAAATCTTCCAAACTGTTATTTTTCTCAGTTTTGGGGGCTCTTTGGGTGGGTCCACTCCGTGTCTGAGGCAAATGTGAAGACCCTTCTCTCCGTGTTCTGGAGAACCAGTTCCGGTTCGGAAGGTTTGGACAGCTGTTTAACAGAATTTGGGTCTGTGGTTGGAGGTTTTACTGCAAAAACAAGTTAGCTGAACAGCTAATCCTGAAAGTCCCGGGCGGGTTTAAAGAGTCCCCGCGGGGAGCAAACAGACCGTCGGAGGTGAACTTTATCCGGGAACCGAACCTAATCCTTCGTGTTTAAATATTTTACTTCGGTTCGGTGTTTTTCCGCTTCTACTGAGCAGCAGCTGGATCGGTTCTGAGGGAATAAATGTCGCTCCAGTCCGCATCCCCGTTCAGATCCGGACGGTTTTTGCGGTGGAAAATGCGGTAAAGCGGGCGAAGCTCCGGCTTTGTGTCCGCTGACGCGGCGGCTCTGACTCTGCTGCTTCTGCGGCCTGCAGGTCGGGCTTCCACCGGGCTACAGTACAGCCCCAACCCGCCGTAGGAGCGTCGGAGGGCGGCTTACCACGCCGCCACTTCTGGGCCTGCGCGTAGAGGGATGGAACGGATGGAAGTGGACCAATGCGCAGGCGCAGGAGGCGGGGCACTACGTAGATCAAACAGCGCCCCCATGATTACCAATGTCAGGTGAGTGGTACTGCATCCACACAGGAAGCAGCAAATCTCGTAAAATGTTATAATCTTCACCCTGTAATTTAGTATCAAATGTTTTAATTTTTAAGTCACTATTTTATGTTTGTCTTTTGGGAAAGAAGGTTTTGGTTGTGATATTTTGTGATGGATAAAATAATGTATTTAAAATAAGCATGCTCCTGAAAATGAAAAAGAAATTTCATTTTACATTATCATTCAGGAGTGAACGCTGCATGTCAACAACTTGATTCAGTCTATTGGGTTTTATTAGAAACTTTTACTTCAAATAATCATTGATTTTACTGATACTGTTTGATAACTAGTATCAGTTGGACTGTTTGTCTGATTGGACATAAAGTGCCTCAACATGTGAAATGGCACTATAGAAGTAAAAATGAAGAAGTTGAGAACACGAAGAACATTTTGTCTACAGATTTGCTCCATTAGTCCTCATATTGTATCTTTAGCCTTTATAAAAACAGATTTAAAAAAAAGACCAGAATGGCAAAAACGTCAGATTATTCTGTCCAATTAATTAAAATTAATCAAACTTTCTTTCCTTTCTGCATATTAAAATAAATGTTGCAAATATTAGTATGACTTTAGTTTTGGCAGTAGTGGGAACAGATGTTATTTTCCAGCTTCAAGAACAAATTTATACTTGTATGGGTCAAACTTGACCTTATTTGGTCAAACTATTGGCTGTGGGGGATCGTTTGATAGAGTTTTTTCCTTTCCAACCTTCACTTATAAATCAATATAAATTAGTTTATTATTCATGTCTGATATGTCTAATGTTTGGACTTGACCAGTGAGTTTTGTCTCCTGTGTCTCTCAGTGACGGGATGACCGTCTTCAGCCCCGTGTCCTCGGCTCGGTACCGGCGCAGCAGCGTGTCCATCAACCCCTCGCAGGTGGGTAGCCATGGTAACGCCTCTGACTGTTGAGAGGACCTGAGAGTCTGAAGACATCTGGAGCGGCTACGTTACACTGTCACTAGGTGGCAGCAGGCAGAACCGCAGGAGGTTTAATTCAGCCGGTCTTCTCTTTGGTGCAGTGAACATTAACCAGTCCAATGTCCTCTGTGTCTCATGCCCTCAGGTCGTCCCCTTGTCTCCGTTCTCCCTGAGTGGGGACAGACTGGATCACAAGAGGCCGGTGAGTCAGGGTCAAAGTTCACCGGGTTTCCCATGATCCTCTCTGGGGGACTGACTGAGTGGACTTTGTGTTTGAAACAGGAGGAGAACATGGAGACCATGCTCCGAGGGAACGTCCACAGACTCAGGTAACGCTCAGCTTGCAGGCCGTGACCTTTGACCTGCAAGCTGTGACGTTTTTTTTTTTTTAATAATATATACATTTATTAAGTCTTCAATATACAGCATACATAAATCATACACAAGAGTACGAAGCATATATGACAAATTACTGTATAAGACAAATATACTCTTACCAATACAACAATAAAAATAAAAGCATACAATAACCATTACCATTTACACGTTAGGATGGTTCTACCTGTCCATAAAGGCTCAGGTGGCATACTAAGAGGCTGGGTGAGTGTCAGGGTCTTAGAATGAGAAAGATGGTCCAAAACCGGCTGCCAGACACCACAGAACTTATCAGTGGAGCCCACAGCATCATACCTCAGTTTCTCCAAATGAAGAATCTCAGTAAAATCACTTAACCACATTTTAAACTGAGGAACCTTGTCAGTTTTCCATAATCTTAATATTACTTTCTTATCCATTACCATTCCATACACCACAGTCGTTTGCATGGAAATGCTGCGGTTCCTCAGTGAAGGAGAATATCCAAACCATCTGGGGGTCTAGAACAAGACTGACTCCTCCCAGACTTCACTCCCAATCTGCAAACCCTGCTCCTCCTCCCACGCAGCCCTCAAGGAGTTTGTGGCAAAATTAATTCGCTCTGCAAAGATGTCAATAAAGCTTGAAATGATTATTTTTTATTCTGGAGAGCCCAGCAGCATTTTACATATCTTATTTTCTTCCAGAAGAGATACATAATTCGGGATAGCTGTTACGTTTGACCTTTCAGGGACTCACCGCTCTCTGCCTCTGCCTCCCAGTGCTTCCAGTCTTGTTCCAGCGTCTCCAGGCAACCTGTGGCAGGACCACGCCTCCACGGTGAGTTACTCCGCTCTTATTTTGAAGGTAGCCGTTTCCTGTCAGGTGGTTTGCTCATTTTGTCCGAAGAAGCTCCAGGGTTTACACTGAGTCCCAATCTTGATCCAGATTTACTCTCTCTGCTTCACTGAATCCAGATCAGTAAACTGGTGTCGGGTTAGAGAAGATCAATTCTGTTCAAAGAAACTCAAACCAATTCAAGGTTTTAATCCGGGATTATGTTCTTGGTTAATCTGGATCAAATTACATGATTGAACCAACCTGGATTGAATCTAGATTAGGATTCATATGTGGTTTAGATGATCAGGATTAATAAATATTGAGGGGTTTAAACAGATTGATAATCCAGATTAAGGGATCCAGATTACACTCTGACCCACTGTGTGTCCTGCAGTGGTTTCCGAATCAGGACAGCGGCGTCACGCCCAACTCATCGCCCAGCCCGACCCGGAGATTCAGGTTCTGATCCGTCTGGTTTCGTTTGGATCTCCAGTGTGAGGTGCTGCTCTGATTTGTTGTGTTTGACCCACAGACCCGCCGGCGCAGTCAGACCCGCCGGCGCCATAAGATGGCCGCTGCTGACGCCCCTGAAGAGGAAAGGTAGCCCTGTTCCGGCCCGGACGCCTCCAGAACCAGAATCCGGAGCGGCTCACTAACTGGCTTCTGTTTTTCAGGTGGTGTTGATTCGGACGGGCCACCGAAGAAGCTGTTTGTTGCCGGGGTAATGGACCCCGCCCACCGCGGCAGCAGCTATACCGTCAGGTGAGGCTCAGCACAGACGCTCAGGTGAGGTCAGTCAGTCCTGAACTCATTGTCTTCTCTGTCCTCCGCAGTGTCTCCCAGGCAACCGTGGACGCTCCGCCTGTAGGGGGCGTTGGCCCCCAGCCCCGCCCACTGACCCTGTCCCCACCCCCTGCCTTCTCCCCTCACCAGCACCCCTAGAGCCCCGAACCCAACGCATCGCCACCACCTGGTATCTGTCCATAAGCCCCGCCCCTTTCTGCAGACCTGCTGGCCACTCCACCACCTGCCTGGGGACGGAGGACAGGGGTCAGGGGTCACGCTGGACGTGTCCCCTGGAGGAGATACGTCTCCATTGACCCGGAACAAGTCCGCTCCTGATTTTTGACCTGGAATGACCCAGAGCACCGTCTGGAGGAACCGGACCAGAACTCACAGGTTCTGATAGTCACGACTCCGACTCAGCTTCAGAGCTGTTCTGGGTCACTACCCGGTCAGTACCGGACTCTGCGTTAATCATACATCTTGGAGAGGAAATGGTTCTGGTTCTGCGTCGTCCAGTTTCCATGGTGACATTCTGCTCAGTCCCGTTCTGGTCCAACCCAGACAGTTCTGTTCAGCTCTCTGATGAACCAGACGTTGACTAGGCCGTTCTGTCTGTGTCCTGGTCCTGGTTCTGTTGCTGACCCGGTCCGGTGCTAATGACCACACCACCGAACTTCACAGGGTTTGGTTCTGTCCGCTCTGACTTTTGGCCTTGGACTGGACCTGCTGGGACGTCTTCCACTTTGGACTCCAGGTGACCTTTGACCCCACCCAGGCTGCTGGAGCTGGACTTCCTGTTCCCATGACAACGAGGATGTCTGGTGGAACCTCGCCGCTCAGAACCAGAACCGGTTCTGATCTCCCTCAATTAAACCCAGAACACCCGACACCATGCGATATTTGCACATCATCATCATGATCATCATCATCGTCATCCTGATGATTTATGAGCTGCAGCGGCCAGCAGGTGGCGCCGCTGGTTACCTGACCCGATCAGGTTCTGACTGTACAGAACCAGGTCCAGTTCTTCTTCTGCTTCCAGCTTCTGCACTTTGACATTTGTACAGTTTTCTACTTCATCCATCGCTGTGCCTGACCCGGTCCGGTTCTGTGGACCGGACCTCCATTTCTCTCTTTATTTTCCTGTGAAGATCAGAACCAAGCCGGAGCAGCAGAACCGTTTTGATCCTGCTTTTGCTGCTTGATTCTAGTTCTGATTTATTTCTGGTTCTGTTTCCGTCTCAGAGTCCAATCCGCTTTAGAGAACACAGTTCTGATTAGCTGGTCGGGTTCTGGAGTGGAACTGAATCAACCTGTAGCTTTAACTGGACTTTCTGTGGTTTTCTCTTATTTGCACATTTCCCCTCCATCCTGGTTCTGATGGACCCATTAAGAAGAACTGGTTCTGTAGCTGGATCCAAGTGGGACGCAGGAGAAATGGACCAGAACTTCTGCTTCACAGAAGCTTTCTAAGCCAAAAATAGTCGAAGTGGGATTCTGGAGAGTCCTGACCCGATTTCAGGTTCTGTTTCCACACTGAGGCCTGATTGGACCCTGCTGGTTTCAGTTGGATCAGAACCGCTGTAGCAAAGACAGAAGAACCCGATTCAGTATTAAGTTTGACTCTGGGAGACCAAAGTGTTCAGATGTTCCCTGATCAGAACCAGACCGGATTCATCAGATCCGGTTTAATTCGGCTGGTTCTGATACTCCGGTTCAGAAGGGTTAGGGTAGAACCATGGAGAACCTGGAGGAATCCCGGCAGAATTCTCTTGAACCAGTTTGAATTGTTGAAGTGAGTTCTGGTTCTGGTCCGGTCCGGGTTTGAAGCGGGGAGACAAAGGGAACTAAAAGCACATCAGTCCTGATTTCACTGTAAATATTTCTGCTTTTCTTTGAGCTCAGAGGAGACAACATATTTTTCTGATCCATTCCCGGCCCGGTTCCGCTGTGGAGAACCGACCCGATAAATATCATGATATATATTGTTTATAAAAGCTGCCAGTGAAATAAAATCTGTTCCATCAAACAGATCAACGCTGTCGACTCATAACTTCTTCCGAAGCTAATTGTTAGCTTAGTGCTATTGCTAACTTTGAAAACATTTAGCATAGTTAGCTTCCCCTAAATTAATTCTTGATGTTCGTAAACTTTCTGTTGAATAAAGTCTGAGTTTAGCATTACTTCCTGCTAAATGTCGTGTTGGATTAGCACTAGCGTAACTAACATTTCAGATTATTGCTTTATGTTTAGCACAGCTAAGTTTTAGTTAGCAGTTTCCCCACTGCCCAGACGTTTACATATACCTGTATGAAACCAGAACCACACTTTTCATGTTTTGGATCAGAATCAACAGAATGTTTCAGATTTCTTTTTTTTATGAGCTGGAGAGAGAATATGTAAGAGATTTGATCTTTGATTTGAGTTTGATTTAAAAATAACGGTTGGGTATATGTAAACTCCTGGTCTCAACCGTACACATAAAATGATATAAAACGATATACTGCATTAATGAAGCTTTTATTATTCACATATTTCCAAATAAAACAACCGGAGTCTCCAGAATGTTATCTGGAAATAAAGAGTCCAGATGTTCTTGACGGTCCTCCATGTCAGGAGAAGAAGAAGACGATGACTACAGATGTTTGACCCAGAACTAACAGCTGTTTATTAACATCAGATGATCAGACCCAGAATCCAATGGGTCAGTCTGGTTCAGGTCAGGGATTAAATAACCTGCGGCCTCCTCTACAGTAAAACTGTCTCCACTGTCCTTTCAAAATAAAAGCCTGTAGGAAGAGGAGGGGCGGAGCTTCAGCGTAGAGGTCAGCGGGACAGCAGAGGAAGGTCACTGGAATTCATGATGAGACTGGAGTCCAGGTTCAGGCTCTCTGGGGGGACCAGGGAAGAACCGTTAGACCGGCTGCAGCTACAGAACCTCCTGGTTCTGGTTAAATGGGTCAGAACCAAACAGCAATGTCTACCCACCCTGGTCAAAGTTCAGCTTCTTGTTGGACGAGGCGTCCCCGAGTCCTTCGATGTCCACCAGGTCACTGTTGACGTCCGAGTCGTTGAGAGCACTGAGCGTGACGTCTGCAGGAGGAAGAGGAGGAGGATGAGGATGAAGAAGAGGAGGATGATGAAGAGCGTTCAGTCCCCCCTCTCACCTGCTGTCTTCTGCTTCTTAATGGGTGGGGCTAACGACGGGCTGTTCTGCATCCCCGTCGCCACGACCTGTGAAGTCGGCACGGCGATCATGGCGGGGGTTGGAGGAACAGGGGCTGGCGCCATGGTAACCGCGGCCTTCTTCACAGTTTTCTTGGGGGATTCGGTGGCGATGGGGACTCTGCTGTCCTCGTACAGCTTCCTCTTCACGGTGCTCTTTATCTGAGCACTGCAGAAGAAGTAGATCAGACAATCAGCTTCAACCTCACAGAGATAAGTTGGAATCGGGACACAGTGGTCAAGAGGTCATCAGGACCCCCACAAAGAAGAAAAAAGATGACGACAGCAAGAAAGGAAGAGAACTGAAGTTCATCAGACACGTGATGAAATCAACCTAATAATGACATCATCATAAGACACCAGGGATCTGTTCTGGGCCTGTCGGTTTGGGTTCTGGTTCTGGTCTGTCTCTGTACACATCAGCTTGGTGCTGACCAGCAGCTCAGAGAGGCTTCAACAGCGAGAACTTCCATTGACCTGCTAAGTCGCTAATGCTCATAGCAAAGCTAATCTTTCCATTAGCATTTTTGCTAATTTTGAAAACGCTTAGCGCAGTTAGCTTCCCCTAAATAGAATTTTCTGGCTAAATTCTAAAGCACTGATTTAATTGGCTGTTCAGATGTGATGTGCTGCAGCAAATGTTCACTCTGTGCCCAGAATGCATTGCTGTACAGCAAACTGTTTAAAATCTACTGATGTTCTTGATGCTTTTGGGTAATTAGACAAAATCAACAACAGAATTAGGAATATTCAACAACTGTAGAGCTTTGACGCAACGCATCCCTGACACATGGTAGGTACCAACATGGCTAAAGTTACCATTTTAGTACTTTACAATTAGCTTCTGCTAATCATATAACATTAGCTTCAAATAAATACTTTGCTGGTGTAGTGCTAGCTTTAGCTAAATACCATGTTTCTATATTATTTAACATTAGCTTCTGCTAAACACAATGTTGGTGTAGCACTTCAGCGCTAGTTCACTGAATACCATGTTGGTAAAGTCCTTTAAATTTAGCACTACCTTGCCAGTGTAGTGCTGGCTTCTGCTAAATACCATGTTGGTGTAGCACCATGTTGGTGCAGCATTTATAAAGCTGCTGCTATCACAGGTCACCATGACACGGTGCATGCTTCCCCTGCTGGACACTGGAATAACTGCCCCTTTAACACTTACACGGTGCGCTCTTTGATCACGGTGCTGATGTTGTTGAGGTCGTCTCCAAAGCGACGCACGGCCAGGCGTAGCATCTCGATCTCCGTCTCGGTCCATTTGGCTCTGAGGACGAACACAGCGTCACTTCAGTTTGTCCTGCCGGTACAGAACCGACCCGCGGCGCTGTGGAGGAGCTGCCTCCAGAACCAGATCAGACTACGTCAGCTGTTAGACCGGAAGTAAGAGGCGTCTCTGGAGTTCCACAGGGATCGATCCTCATTACACTTCAGCTCTAATACAAACTGATTTAAAAAAACCACCATGAAGCCTGAAACAAGCTGATGGGAACAGGTGTGATACATGGGCAGTTACAGAACTATAGATTTATTTTTCATAAATAAATGGCTGCTGTTTGCTGTGATTGTGTACAGAGACAGAGGAATGGACAGTTTCCTGACTATTTCAGAGATCTGACTCGTTTAAAAGGACGGATTCATATCAGAGAGAGCCGAACGTGAGCCTTCGCGTTGGTTAGCTGTGATGAGGGTGTAAGGGTGAGGCTCACCCTGCAGGGCTGGAGTCGGACACAGGGTGGAGCTGCATGGTCAGCTCGCCCAGCTTGGTGAAAGCTGCTCCAGCTGCAGAAAAGATTTCCCCAACCTGCAGAGAAGACATTCAACTCTTCATCATCATACTCAGTCATGAACATCATCACTTTTTAAATCACTCAATCCAGTTGTTACATTTGTTACGTGTACAGTGGTTTGCAAAAGTATTTATGCCACTTGAACTTTTCTGTATTTAGGTCACATTACAACCTCAAACATAAATATGTTTCACTGGAGGTCAATGTGAACACAAAGTATTATACAACTGTGAAGCAGAAAAAATTAATTCAGCATTCGAAACAATTTACAACTAAAAAAATGAAAAGTTTGATGTGCAGAAGTATTCAGCGCCTTTCCCCGATGACTAATGACTAAACAGTCCAAGTGGTGAAAGTGTGGTTAGGAATGAAGTTCATGTTAGTTATGAAACAAAAAACACTGAAACATGACATTTATTTTCGCCTAAAAACTGAACTGAAAGGAGCAAAGGCAAACAACAGTTTCTTTATTACTTAACTTATACATAATGTTAATGTGAGCCGATTTTATCTACAGAATCTGATCATTTGTTTCGTAAAGAAACTATTTATCCTGTCCAACCATGTTTAGTATTAAAGCAAAAAATATATCATGGCTAAGTTTCTGAATGAGATTCGGCGCGCAGCTGAGAGATTAGCTCCTGAAAAGGTTCGGACACTGAGAATATTAAAGGTTCGGACAGGTGAACCCAGGAGACAGCTTACCTTGGCAGAGGCTGACGTCATTTTAGGAAGCGTGTGATTGTTTGAACGAAATCACAAAAAAACAAAACAAAGCTAACACAACAGTTAGCCGCCGTTAGCTTCAGTTAGCCTGCTGCTAGCGGCCCGTTCGCTCCATTTAAGCCTCACTGTGTTTAATTTCAAACGGCGGCGGATTCCCGGAGCTTCGCAGCAAATAGGAGGATTCAATGCTGCGGCATTTACATCAAAAAATACATATTTAGGATAAAAATAAAGATCCAGAACAACAATGGCAATCAGACAGGATGTGGCGAACACTGCGCGATTTTACCACTTCAATGCTATTGGTCCGTTTCAGAGGAAGAGGCGGAGCTCCGAGTGCTTCCGAGTAAAGCCGAGTGCCAAGGATCAGCTGACTGCGGCGCTCTGTCCTTCAATGGATCGTTTCTGATCTGTTCAGATAATCAAACGGAAAAATAATATTTGATTAATTGATTGATTGATTGGTGAACGCCGACATGCCGTCGCTTCTGTTCTGTGGGCCGAAGATGGCCGCCTGCGGGATGGTGATTAGCATCTGGGGGGTCATCATGCTGGTAAGACGCTTAATGGGAGCCGACTATTTCCTGGATAGAATGCTGTCAAATGCATAATTCTGATTTACATTTGATACAAAATATGAAAGGTTTATATTTGGGTTCTGTTTTATTTCTGAGACGCTATTGAAGATATACAGATCAAACACTGGCTCGGGATAATCCCTGTGAGAGTCAGCACATAGACGGATCCCAGGCAGTTGAACTGAATGTATTGTGGCTGCGGATCTGTCTGCGTCTAATTCACGGGATGGGAGGTTAACCGGAGGGGTCACCCGGTGATGGTGATCTTTCGGCCGGGGTGGATGATGGTCTTTAATCGGGACTGGTTCACTGATCTCCTGTCTGTTCTGACTGTTTCCTCCATGGCACAGTCACGTGACCCTCATGTGATTCTCCATAGCAGGAAGTCCGATTATAGACACATTTCCACACCTCACAGATCATCACAAAATGGTGTTTTTTAATTCTGAAGAAGGAGAAATAATTAATGTTTTTTTTTTTCCCAAATTAAATCTGAATAGTGTGGTGTGCCTCTGCACTCAGCCCCTCCAGAGTCTAAGCTGCTAGTGGCTGCAGGTGGCCTGGGGTTTTTCTCCACTACATTCTTTTGTCTGGAATTTGACTAGGCCATTCTTTCTGACCCATAAATCAGTTTTCATATAAAGCGTGCCATAATATCTGTGGCTGGATATTCAGGTGGTCGTCCTGGAAAAGGAACATTCTACAGTCGGTGTGAGATTGAATTTGCACACAACATTTTCCATGTAGATCTTCACAGAAAAGTTCTTAGCATTAAATGCCATAGAGATTAAATGTATTTTCGGATTTTATGACTTGTACTGGATTTTATTTGGGGGTTTCATATTAAAGGGGATGAATACATCATAAAAGCAGTTTTAACTGTAATCCTCCTTCCACCTGATTTTATGCCCCACTTTGTTGGTCTGAGCGTCCCTGCTGCGCCCCGCGCCTCATGTTGAGCCTCTGCCCTTGTCTTCCAGGCCATGTTGGGGATTTTCTTCAGCACCAACTCGGCGGTTCTGATCGAGGACGTCCCGTTCACCGAAGCCGACATCCGGGAAGAGTGAGTCCATGAAACGCAAGACGGTTTGGATGTTTAGGCCTGAACCCACCCCAGTAATGATCTTGTTTTGACTAAACGTCTGGATTAGTTTTTCTGTTCTTTGGTTCTTGGACTAAACATCAAATCTAAACAATGAGCAATAATAGTCTGAGATATTATTGCATGTAACTCAATAATAACTCATATAAGAGATTCATTTTCTCTTATATTTTCTGATATAAGAGAAAATGAATCTCTTTCCTTTAGTTTGAAACTAAGCATGTAATTAGCAAACTAAATACTGAGTTTGAAGAAAAAAAGTTTGAAACGGTAACATTTATAAATTAATGAATAATTTGGTGAAAATACGGCTGAAGACAGGCTAAATACCCCAAATTATTGCTGTTAATGTTTGGCTGTAACTTTATAAACATCTGGCCTGGGTTCAGATCTCGTCTGGTTTGGGTCAGGCCGCCGGGTCAGGCTGAGATCAGAACCAGGACGCAGGCTCACCGCTGTGCGCTCTGTCCCGCAGTAAACAGCCGCCTCAGAGGATCTACGCTCTGTACCGCCAGGTGGGCATCAACTGCTTCATCGCCGCCGCCGTCTACGTGGCGGTGGGCGCCATCTCGCTCTGCCAGGTGCGGCTCAACAAGCGCCAGGAGTACATGGTGACATAAGGAGCCACGGCAGGGCTTGACCTCTGACCCCTGGTGATGGTTCACCACCCGACCTGCAGTCTGATTTGGTCCTGGATCAAGCGAGGGGGCGGAGTCTGGATAATTTATTCTGAATCGTGTTTATTGTTGATGTTTGTTGTTGTTGGATGAAATGTTGCGTCGTTCCTCCAAACCATTCCCAGATATCTGATCCACTGACCAACCAGGAGAAGGCCTGCTCCTCTTCCTCCTCATCTGTGTAGCTGGTGGTGATGACAATGTGTTCAATGTGTTCTGCTGGATGCTCCTTTACAATAAAGTGCGAATGTGATTAAATACAGGCTTTTGTTCTCATTCTTCAGCTAAAATAAACCAACATGTTGGTGAGCAAATGATGCTCAGGTTGGCTGATCAAACATCTTCAGGCTGAAACTAAATGTCAAAGTGACATCCATGTTAGTAAAACCCAACAATCCCCAACCATCACACTTCCTCTTACCCACTGCACGTCCTGCTGCCCAGAGCTGCCTCGGCTGCTTGTGGAGCTATCAGCAGCAGCTCCACAATTATAACAGACATGAATCTGTTATAGCTTCGGGACTATACTGGACTTTTACAGTCCTGAAGCTGCTGTGGGTGAACAAAGGTCAACACTTAACACAATAAAACAACAAAAACAAATAAAAAAAGTGAATAATTACTGTAAAACTTTATTGCTACCTTGATGTAAATTATTACATTGTTAGTGTAACTCTGTAAATGGCAAATTCAGTCCTGTTTGCAAATACATTTGTTCAATGAGATAAAATTCTGAGGAGTAAGTCACCTTTTGAAATTAACCTAACAATGTTTGACTCTAAGCAAATTAAATCACTATAAACATTTATGAACATATTAACATAAGCTTTTCTTTATAAAACAGTGGATAAAAGTTATTTTTTTAAAATGAGAACCAACATTTGTTTCATTTTCAGTTTGTTCTTTTACGTTTTATTTGTGTTATTTTAGGATTCGGGCAGTAACCATTAATTTTTAAAAGGATCTACATAAAAGGACTTTGTTATGATTCTGAACAGCACCTCCCTCAGCAACATGGCGGCGGTGATACGTCACCGCCAATAGCGTGGCGGCGGTGATACGTTACGGCCAATAGCGCAGCAGTTCATGGGAAATTCCCGCATCTCTCGGTTGTGGCGCCAAGACTTTCCCCGTTCAAAGGTGGACAAAAAGAAAGCAGGAAACCCGTCTGGAACTCCTTTCACTGCGCATTTCACCGAGGTTTAAATCACCATGTGAGTTCATTAAGCGAATATTAAGGCTTAAATCAGGTTCTTTTTAACAAAAAGGAACATTTTTCCTCCTTTAACAACAGAACTCGGCTCACTGCTGGGCAGCTTCCCCCAAAGGGAAAACTGTTGGGGAAACGATGTTCGGTGAGTAGCTTCCGTTTCGTGCTAATTTCTGAAACCATTACATGTTTTGCAACATTAAGTTAATATAATTTACTGTACCTGAACAAGAACAGAGTCAAAAGGAAATTTGAATCGCTAATTCAAATTGTGTTCAAACTAACTTGAATTTATTAGCTGCTGCTGGTGGTGGTGGTTAGCTGATTGCTAAATTTAGATTAAACTTTAAAGAGATTATCTGTGTACAACTTGTTTCTAAGGTGAATAACAGACAGTGATATTTAAATGAGCAGAAGTTATGTTTTCTGTTGGCTCTGTTTACCTTTCAGGTAAATAATTCGGTCCATTTCTGGGATCCATCCAGTTTCTGCTCATGAATTGGATCATTTTCTCTAGTTGTTATTTTTCAGGATGAAAGCTGCAACATAAAACTGCTCTGAATTTTAAAAATAACAATTCTTTATAACCTCCATATAAATAAACTGTATTATTATTCATTGTAAAAGTTATTTGTTCACAAATCAAGAATCTTTATTATTATGAAAACATGACATTTTTATTGAGACACCGGATCAAAATGCACATAAAAACACTTAAGAAGAGAATAGCACCTTTAGAGAACAAATAAAAAATATTAAACATTCTTAAAAAAAAAAAAAAAAAAAGAAACTGTTAGATGGTTTTCACATAAAGTTCAGCGCTTGAGGAGCCTGCTTGGTTGGGGCTCCTTGTTCTCCTTGAACACTCAACTTGGATCACTTTTTATCAGTCAGCCATTGAGTTCAGTTGAAGGATTTGCACAAATACCATGATTGAACCACTACTGTAAACATTGCAACCAGCCTGGGGTCTCCTCTGAACATCCACATTTGTGAAAAACTTTAGTCAGACATTACTGAGCTATATTGGCGTTATCCAACAAAACATGTCAAGTCTTCTCTAACCTTGTAGAGGAATGCAGGGATGCTAACCGCTGCACCTGCCCTCACGCCCATTTCAGTGCTTTAGCTATACACCTTGCTTGAGAGAGAGAATTATTCTTAATTAAAAGATTGGTGTTTTATATTGAAATGACCAAGTTGGGCACCACCTACATTAGAAACATGACAGCAAAATAGTTCATTCTCTGTTATTTTTTTGTAAAGATCTGTCTGATAATTTTGTGGAAAAAAATTCTGATAAGTGATTTGGATATATTTGTTGGTGTCAACAGTAATGTAAATCTCTCTTTGTCTCAGACATGTCTGAAAGCTCAAAATGGAAGCAAACCTTGACCAACATTGTGAAGGAGCTCCGCGAACAGCAGTACAAACATATGCTAGAATGTTTGAAGAAAATACCTAAAAGTGTGAAAGAAGCAGTACACCTAGAAGAGATGCCTCAGACCATCATTGAGTGTTATGGAGAGGAGGATTCCATTGCTGAAATCAACAGGATCATGGATGAGATACCAAGGAGAGATTTTGCAATTCAGAACCTGCTGCGTCCGTTTGTGGAGAAACAAGGTGAGTTTATGCTGCTGGATCAGTTTCAGGTTCTGCTCAACATTCATGGTCCAGAACAAACCCTGAGGAGGCAGGTCAGGGTTGTTCTGGTGGTCTGCTGTTGCTTGGGTGTTTGTAATGCACCTTTAATCCATCACTGAACCATCCTAACAAATCTGTCAGCCCAAAGTTAAAACCAAGGTTCCTCCTGACTGCTGAGTTTTGGATGTTGTGCATTTTGGTCTGAAACCAAAACAGGGAGAAGTTCAGAGCTGATAACCAGCTGATAATAAAGGAAAATATCCAGAAATAATCACAACATGAGTTCATAGAGCAGTGATGAAAATGTTTATGAATGAAACTATAATTCAGTAACTGCAGAGCTTTGACAGTTTAAAATGTTTTTCAGGAAAAAAGAGGAAACCTGGACCGGAGTCAGAGGAGAAGCAGGAGTCTCCATCTGGTGGGTGAAAAACCTGAACTGTCCCTTTAAACAGGTTTAAAATAACTCCATTAAGAACAATGAACATTTCCTGCTGATCTTAGAGCTCCCCCTGCTGGGTAGAAAGTGAAGTTGAACCCCTGTGATTCATTTCTCAAAATGTGATTTGCTGCTGGTGAAATACCTGCAGCTAGATTGATCTCAGTTCTGTGTCGGCTTACGGATCAGAACCAGATTAACTCATGTTGATCCACCTCTCTGTGTTTAACAGAGTTAAAGAAGAAGAAGAAGACTGATAATGATGATGATGATAAAGCTGGTGAGTTTTTACTCCCATGTCTTCAAACTGGGTTTTTCTGACATGTTATGTAATAAACTTGTGATAATGAGTAAATAACTCCTATTAACATCAGAGTCACTCAAACATGGTTGTATTGTTTTAAAAGAAACAAAACCTGGTTTTATATTTAAAATTCAATGGATATGTAAAAACACCTATGAGGAGGAGCTGTGTCTAGAAGGCGGGGCTAGGTCCACTCAGACGTTCAGCCTGTCCATACCTCCTGAGCTCAGGTCTCTCCTGATATCATTAATCTGACCTGCTGATGATCTGCTGCTCTTCATGTTTAACAGGGTTTGAATCTGATTCAGATTCTTCAGATGATGAAACTCAAGCTGGTGAGTTCAATGAATCAACCTCACAGACAGAACCAGGTCAAAGTCTGTTTATAAAACTACAGATCAGAGCAGAAACTCCCTGACTCTTCTTTTTCTTCTACAGACGATCCAGGAAGTTCTCAGTCTGATAAGGTAATCATCACAGTAACCAACAGTAGCAGTTGCACCCACTAGTTTTTGCTCTGCAATGACTTTTTGCACAGCTAGTTGAGTAGTTACAATCATATGACTAAACTGATTTTCCCAAGAAATTAAAGATAAACAAGGTGAGTTTGTCAGTTTGAATTACATAAAAATGTAAATAATTTACCAAAGGGGTTCTGTAATGGGGGCTTTGCATGGCGCAACATGTAAAAAATAAAATTCAGACAATGTCCGAGTGTCAGACATGTTTTCACAGCATGTAGACTGACACTTCCAGTTCTAATAGTAAACGTTCAGATATTGTAACGTAACATGAGTCACTGGCCTAGCATAGGCTAGCATTCAGCATTAGCTTGTGCTAATTGACTAATTATGTTTGTGCCAATCACCTAAACATAACACTTCACATCATTATGGATGAATCCTGCCGTGTTAAGAGGCGTGCTGTGGTGGTGCAGGGGTTAGCACGCCCCACGTTTGGAGGCCTCAGTCCTTGATGCTGGTAATTTTCAGAGGAACTGAACTGACCTATCAAACTGCAACTTTCTTTGGCAACATCGCAGGGATATTGCAAGCAAAAATAAAAAGCATCCATGCAGCTCTGTTCTCTGTCACCTGGTGAAAATGTGTGTTTTTGGAGGCGTGGAGGCCGTTTGACCCACTGTGCTCCAGAGAAGTGTATGACTTTGTAAAGCGACATTGCATGTAATTTTTAGATATAAATGTACTGCAAAAAATGAAAGCCAAGTAGTAAATATATCTAACCAATAATTAACTGATCTTTTTTCAGAAGGTTCCTCCTTGGGTGAGTTGGACATTTAGGTTTCATTGAAAATATTCCATTTTGTTCTTGTGTTGGACTTTTCTTTATGAATTTCTTTCACTTCTTTGATCTTGTTTCCAGAGACAGAGCATCAGGCTCCTGAAGGAAAGTAAAGACACAAATGGAAAACCAATAGGTGGAAAGGTTGTTCAGAAATGTGCTCTGCGTACATATGAAACCAAAGAGAACCAGAAGAAGAAGTTCTTCCATATGGCAGTCGCCGACGAGACCGACTCCATCAAAGTCATGGTTTATGGAGAAGAGCTATTTAATAAAGTAGAAGAGGGACGACTTTACCTTTTCACAGATGTGAACGTGCATGTAGTGCATGGTGAGACGTTTATGAAGGTGACCAAGCACAGCAAAATCTCAAAGACTAATGACATCGAAGCTCCCAAGACTATGGAGCTGCAGAGTCCATTTTTTTCCATTAAGAAGGTCCAATCCTTTAAGGAGGAAACAGCAGTGAGTGTTAAAGGAACTATAATTGCGGTAAGTGAATACTGCTCAGAGCAGTAATCACAAATCTCTAATTAGCAATAATAAGAGATTTGTGGCTCTGTTCTCCATTATGCTGCACTGAAAACGTTGGATCGTTTCAAGGATTGGTTTATAATCCTCAGATTGGTCCCCAGGAAGATGGTGCCAACAGAAAAACACAAGAGTTCCAACTTGAAGATGAAACTGGATCCATCTGGATCAAGCTGTGGCGCAAAGACATCGAGCAGTTGACAGGAAAGTCAGTGGGAGATACGGTCAGTGTGACCAACCTACTGACCAACCAATACTGTGAAACGGCGTCTCTGAACTCCACCGACTTCATCAAAATTACTCAGGTACCAGTTATCACCTGGTTATTATTCAGACTGCAGGAAATCCAGGCCTGAACCAAAGTGGAGAACTTCATGTCGCTGTGTGACAGAGAACATAAATGTGAAGTGGAATTAAAATTATGCATCTTGATTTGCTTTTTCTATATGCAAAGTAAATGACTAGTGAATGAATGAATATAATGACTTAGTTAACTCCTCCTTGTGTAGATCAGTTCTCCAGAACCTTATTCTATTCAGGTGGTGCAGCTGAGGCACATCTAAAAGTTACAGGACACCCAGTGGCCCTTTAGGACTGGAGTTTGACATCCCTGCTTTTAACAAACAACATAAGACCTGGGTAGATAGGTGCCTGAGGCTGCTGCCCTGGGTGCGCCGCCCTTTTGTTACATGAGATTAACAACATGATGAGGGGGAAAAAATCTCACTGAATCACTGAACTGAATAAAAACAATGCTTTGTTACAGAACATTATAAAGATCATTCAGGAATCTAAACATGTCAACTAATTTTATTCAAATAATTCAGATGTTTGGTTACATGTGTATTAATTCATTATGATCTTGTTTCCCTGTTTGTGTCCAGACGAAAGCTGCTGCTGTCCAGAGGGTCACCATGCAGATTGTAGGAATCATAGAAGCAGGAAAGGAGCAGACCGAGCTGGACGTGCTGATCAACAACAAGTCCAGATCCTTCTTTATTAAATCTCGTCTCCTGGCTAAGGTTTTTGATGTCAAACTAGATGACGACTTCGAGGATAGACTGGTGAAGAAAATCCCGTTTCTGGCCAAAGGAAAAATAAAACGAAACAAAATCCAGATTCTTAAAGCTGCAAAAGCCATGAATACTTAATAGAACCAGAGATTTTAAAGCTGAACGAGTCTTTTACGTTAAAATCCTAAATGTGCTAATGGAGAAACAACTTACCGTTCGGGATTCTCCGATCGGGTTTTCTGCTGCCGATACCAATCACTAATGAGGCTGATCATCAATCTTTGCCAATCGCCTGGATTGACTGTCAGTAAAATAATATTTAACAGTAAGGCTCTCAGTTCCATAAATTATTAGTCAAATAAATCTGCCTATATTAAATAATGTGAAGTAATAATGGAGACATTCATTCAAAGTGGAAATAAACAATCCTTCCTGAGAGCTGATTCATTCTGGTTCTGGTTAGTTGCCTATTCTGCAGAACACAGGAGGAGGCTGAGGAGATCAATTATTATGTCAGAGATTATCTGTCTTGTGTTGGGACAGTGAACGTTTTAATACATGTCTAAAATCTTTTTTTAAGTTATGTGCTGCAGCTTTAAGCAGAGGTTCGGTGTGAGAGTTCACTGTGGGAGGAGCAGGAACGGCACTGCGTCTGTGAAATATTACAACTAGTAACAGCAGTTCAGCAACGAGAGCAGAACCAGCGTCTTTCACCACAGTCCAAAAACATGACTGTTAGGTTAATTGGTCTCTAAATTCTCCCTAAGTGTGTGTGTGGGTTTGTGCACGATTATTTGTCCTGTCTGTCTCTGTGTTGCCCTGTGACAGACTGGCGACCTGTCCAGGGTGACCCCGCCTCTTGCCCCAAACGTTAGCTGGAGAGCTAGGCAGCTGCACCTGGATGGATGCAGTTGCCATCCATCCAAGTTGATGGATGGATGGATGTCAACATGGTAGGAGTTCGTCCTGCTATCAGTAGGTTGCCAGTTCAATTCCTACTCTGTCCTCTGTCGATGTGCAGACACGTCACCCGCCTCGCCTGTTGCTGCTGGTCAGAGGCTGCAGCTACTGTCCAGTAGCTCACCATCACCAACATGTGAGTGGCTGCACTTTGGAGACATCTGGACTTGATACAAGTACAGGGAATTTTCTCTTTTTGAAAAGTTTATTGTATTTACAGTAGATCTCAACTTTTTATGTAAATCAACTGTTAAAGATCCTTTTAGGGGTAAATGATGTGAGTTAGCTATGCTAATTTGATTGTCTTGATGTGTTTCTTGAATCTGTCTCTATCAAATAAACAGTACCAAAAAAATTCCACATTGCAACATTTTTTCACTGAGATCCATGTTCTTACAGGGAGAGTATTCCTTTGTCAACTACGCTACTAAAGGCAAGAGCCTTTCACTCGCGTTTGAGCAGAGACTTAGGCACAGAGATACCATAATGTGTAGCAGTTTCAAATAAATAAACTTTTCTACAAACAAGGTCAGATTACTTAAAAGCTCCTCCATACTAAACCGTGCCATGCTCCAAATAATCCCGGACGAGCCCCCACTCATGTTATACTTGCTGAACATGGGTTTTAAGACATTACTATGCCATAGCTTAATGATGAAAGGCTTCAGCATATCTTCTGTGTGCTGCAATGAGAAGGACTTATTTTGTGGATGCAATATAAATCCTGATATGTAAGAATCAGGATTCTGCTGTTTCTACAGTTCAGTTCCCACTGCTGTAGAAACAGCAGTGGGAACTGAACCAAACTTGTCTTTTGAATTTTTGCTCGAATGATTGAATGTAGTATGATGCACTTTGGGGTCCAGTAGACCAGACACAACAATGTGATTTTACAAGACAAAACTTTATCTCAGACTTTTCTGTGAAATTGGATTTCAGAGAACAGCTTAATGGATTCACCACATGAATATCAATGTGGTAGCTTAGCTCTGACGAGATCATTGTTTTATGTCATCACCTGCAAAGAAAGTTAAAATAGCTTCTTCTTCAACAGTGACAACATTCTGCAGTCCTATGCCCTGAAGACGCCCTTACAGATTAAGGTAGTGGCATGCATTATTTAGACGGCCATTAACATTGTTCAGTTAATTAAATAAAAACACATTTTCTGGCATATAAAATACTGCAGGTTGGGGAAGTTCATGTAAATGTGGAAACACAAAGGGTTTGATCCACTCTACAATGAACATGTCACTACAATTAATGGTGTGTTTTCTCTGCTTTAGGCCTCAGGTTTTTTCATCCATTCATTTAAAACAGCAGGAATCAAACGTCTGATAAAAGAAAAGTCTGGATGAATCACTGCTGAAGAATTACAAGCCAACCTCTCATTCTACAGTAACATCACTGAAAAAACTTTCAACAGTTACATATCTTGCTGACGACCAACCGCTTTGATGTGTTTCAGTCTGGTTTCCATGGTTTCCACAGCACAATGACCTCCATGTAAACAGACTCTGAACAAACCACAGTGCTGGTTCTGTTGGACTTCTACGTTGACCAGGACATATTACTGTAACCACTGGAGAACTGGGTCAAACCCTCCGGTCTAACTGGCTCTTTCAGGGTTTTTCATCCACAGGGAGTCACAGTCTATTCATTGCATTCACTAATCCGTCCATCTTGTGGACTGATTTGTCACATTTGCGACACATTTATGGTAAATGGCTTCCGACTCGCCTCGTGCTTTATCAAGTCCAGAGGACCCAAAGTGTTTACACTACAGTCATTCACTCTGATGCTGAAAAGCTACAGGACAGTAGCCACTGCTGCCTTGGGACAGTCTGAGAGAAACGGGTCTGCTGTGCAGCACCGCGCCCTCTGACCCCCAGCAGCAGGCAAGGCGGGTGAAGTGTTTGCCCAAGGACACGGCGTCTGGCCTTGAAGCCAGGCTTCAGATGTTCCATCGCTACAGCCCTGCCACATCCGAATCCTACACAGACTTTGATCAAGTTGAGTGACATTCATCCTTCCTCACATGAACCACCTCGTCTCTCAATGAGGAGCAGCTGTGCAGAGCCCAGAACATTAACATTTGTAATTTTATGCAAATTATTAAAATACTCATTAAATAATTAAAACTTATTGTGTGTAAATTGTTATTAATGTTCTAACCCTAAAGTGCTATACGATTTTTTTGAGTAGAAATGGTTCGACTCCTTCATTACTGGACTTAATTCATAAACTTCAAACAACCCATTATAGTTTGTTGAGTGAAAAACTAACCTGCATGATTTAATAGAACAGGAGAAATGTGCTGGAGGAAGAGACTGAATACTTTGCATTTGCATCGCTTGTACCATGAATGCAAATTCATTTAAACTTCCGCCTTACCAGTGAACAGCCCTGCTGTCAGGCCGGTCTGTTCACAAAGAATCTCAATGTTTCGTTTGTTCACAAACGAAACATTTCATGTTTTACAGCCAGAGACAGAACAAGCATTTCATTGAGGAGAGGGAGTTAAATCAAACTTTAACCTTAGAGAAACTGGGTTTAAAGTTCCTGCATCGAGTTTATGAGTAAAAGTTTCAGACTGAACCATTTGGAGAAGTTTCTGCTGAATCTGTTTTTCTGTCACCAGGAACTTTCAGCTTCCAGATTCTCCATTTTCTGTTGGTTTCATCAGCAGTGAGCAGAAAACTACAGGAAACGGTGAGTTTTACAGCTCGACCAGTTCAAACACTGGTTATTTTTACTGGATCTTATGGTTTTTACTGGTTTAGTTTATTCACTGTTTTTCTCAGTGACTAACAAACTGGTCAAAATCAGCCACTTTGCATTCTGATTGAAATGTTCCCTTGTTTTTCCCTTGAATAAAATGATTTAATCAATGACAATAATCCTGTTGGGAATGTAAGATGCTGATATCTCACAGCTCTAGATAGAAACCGTTGGTATTCATTTGACTTTATATCAGAACAGAGAAGTTCGTTAAATCAGTCGAGTTTATTTGAATAACAAAATCAGTTTAAATGATTTACATCATAAAAACAAAAATGTCACAAAATTATAGAGTCACCAACTAACAGGTTTGTTGTTCAGTTTCGGTTTAAAGGAGTTCAGTGTTTCAGCTGTTTTCTGGAAGTTTGTTCCAGATCTGCAGTGCATAGAAGCTGAATGCACTTCTCGCTGTTTGGTTCTGGTTCTGATCCAGAGCACAACCAGACTCTATCAGGAGCATCTTGTAAATGTAAAATGCTGAGCTGCAGATCATGCGTAGCTGAATCCTTGTCTTAAAGGCTTCAGAAAATCAGGAAGCCTGGTTTTCTAAAGCTGGTTTTGTTTTTGGTGTTCGTCGTCCATTTTCTACTTTTGAGGATCCAAAACTTTTAATACAGATTCTATTTAAATAAATGAGACCCAGAATATTGATTAGTTTGGGTTTTTGGTGCTTCTTGGAAAGTTTTAGATCAGTCAGAGAACATAATGGCTGCTGTGTTTCTCCACAGGTTGATCTATTAGATGAAGATCAACACTGCTTTGGTGAAATCTACAGTTAGTGTGTTAAGTTCGGGAGCTGGGCCGCGCCCAAACCACACCTAATTTTCCAGGTGGCCTATTTATACTCTGCTCGCCCACTCATCTCAGTCTGTTACGTTTCGTCAACCATCAGACCGTTTTTCTTGTTATGATTTCAAATATTTACATAACTCACCACGGAATGGGACGTGGCTATTCAGCGCCACCCTTCTGATTCAATACACACAGGAGAATGAAAATCAGGTAAACAAAAGTCAATGTTTGGAGCTGAACAATGAGTGTGTGTGCAGAGTTTTCTTGCAGAGGAACCACAGGACCTGAATAGTCTTGGTTCTGGAGGCTGAGAGATTGATGAGATAAGATTGTTTTCAAAGAGAACGACTGACAACGGTTCAGCTTATCGGGTGATATGAGGAGGTTCCACCAGGGCGATGGGGAAGTGGCTGGTTACTGGAGCTTGGGTTGTGTGTGGGAGTTAAGGTGTCTGGTCCAGGATCAGATGATTAGAGGAGCAGGTCAGTGGAGGTAGATGGTAGTAGAACGTTGCAGGACAGACAGGTAATCGGCAGACCGGAGGATGGTAGAGCGGAGATTAGTCAGTATGGACGAACAATCCAGAGGGATCTTCTTGTGATATTCTTAGTCACTGGACCGAGGGCCTTGGGCAACTCTGAGGGTATTTTCCACGGAGCCATGAGGGAATTCTGTTAAGGAGGTCAGAGGAAAAAGTCAGAATCAAAACACTGAGAACAGACTCAAAAAGAGCTTAGAAGGGGCTCTGAGTACCATTACTGGCAAACACTCAAGCACTGGAGAACTGGCTGCCCACTCCTCTTATGCTAAATGATGCCGATTACATTCAGGTGTGCAGGAAACAACCTCCAGGCCCTCCTGGTGGAAAAACATCCCACAAGGCCAAGACTCTGGTTTCCAACAAAAGCTTTAATCTGAAGCATCATCTTTCGGTTCACACTGAGTGACTGTCAAAGGGAATAAACAGCAATTATTCTGAAAAGATTTTAAGTTTAATCTCTTAAAGAACTAATTTTACGATCAGGACCGCCAGAAACCTTGATGCCCTCTAGACCAGAATGTTAACCTTTGACCTCTTCTTAAGTGATGACTTCAAACAGTTCAGTCAGAATAGAGACCTGCTTCCTTTAAATCTGTGTCATTCAGTCAACCTGTTCTTCAAAGGTCAGGGGTCAATGTCTGCACGGACGGATCGCCTCCAGTTAGATTGGTGGTTGAAGAAATTCTGATCATTCTGTTGACATTTCCTTCTTTCTGCATCACAGATGTCAAACATCTCCGAAGACGAGTGGAGAGACGCCATGACCAAGATCTTTGAGAAGCTGGATGATGATCAATACAGAAAAATGAAAAGGATTTTGACTGAATCGGGATATCCCTCACCAAACAAGATCACCTCCAAGTTTAAAAGGGAGCTGCCTAAAAACCTAATTCAGAAGTTTGGAGCAGAGAAATCCATTCGCTTAGTCAACAAAGCAATGAAGGAGATACCAAGGAATGACTCTGGAGTCCAGAACCTGCTGCGTCCTTTTGTGGACAAACTGAAAAAACAAGAAGGTGAGTTTCCAGTCAATATGGTGTGTGTTACAGTCAGGGCTGATCAATAACCTGATCACCTGATTCAGAGGAGATGGTGGAGGTTTCTGGGTTCACTTTGAGACACTATCAGAAACTGTTGGTGTTTTTCGTTCCAGCTGAGCTTTATGGTCTTGGTGGGGTCAGCAGCTGTCCTTCATGAGGGTTAGTCTTTGTTTTCCGTAAGAACTGTTTTTATTTAGTAGATTTAGACTAAATGTTTTGGTCTATAGAACCTCCTTCGTGTTCAGACAGCAGTTAGATAGAAGAGACCATGTTTACTGGAGCCTGACATGATGCCCCTGCTGGCAGCTGTATGCTATTGCTCCATGTTGTGGTGAGTTTGTGGATTATGAGGTCACTGTGGGGAAATGATGCAGATGTTCAGAGATCATCTTAGTGATGGTCGGGTAGCAGGAGGAGAACCCTGCTAACAGTGTAGCATCTGCTCACCATGTTCCAACGGATCAAAGGACAAATATGTCAGATTAAATACTGAAACATCTCAATGTGTTTCTGTCTTTTAAAGGTGGAGAGACGAGCAGCCAGCCGAAGGTGAGAACCTGTTCTGACACACATCAAACTCTCCTCACCTACCAGCCGTCTGAGACACTCTCAGCTCTTTAGACGCTTTAAACATGTGCTGCTGCTTTCTGTAGACGGATTCTGCTGGAGCAGAAGAGCCAGAGCAGAACCAAGGTGCTTCATCTGGACCCAGTCCACAGGTAGGAGGACATGTGGAGGCTGCATCTCACTGTGAACCCCTGATTTATTTCATCATGTCAGATCAGAAAGTTAAATTCATTCAGATGCATCATAAAGAGATGTATTTAATTCAAGTTCAATGACAATATCTATTTTCTCTCAGTCCAAAAAGTTCAAAGTACTTTACATTTCAAAAGCATGAAAAACATAATAAAAACATCATCATCACCAATTGTGAATTTATATTACATTTTGTCTGGTGCCATCATGACGCATCAGACATGTTTAACATGTTTCAGGTTTTATTGGTCAAAGCAACTCTACTCTGATTTTGTCCCAAGTCTCATAAAATCTAAAATATTACGTAGATAAGATTTAAATTCTGAATTTCAATCTTTTCATGAAGAAAACTGCTGAGTTGACAATTATCAGGCAGTCAGTGATTCTCTAGAAGGAGAGCAAGCAACGAGAGGCATTTCAGAGAGATGAATCTAATCTAATTAATGGAAAGTTTAGTGGAGGGACATTTGTGGTAGAAAATGAGAATCCAGATTAGATCGTTGAATCATGAAGGTCTTCATCTAATAAATTGTTTCTTTTTTTCCTTTCAGAAGATGATAAATTCTGATGTGGTGAGTAGAAATGTTGGTGTTCATGAACAACCAAGAGTTTTACTTTATATTTATGTCTGTCTGGGGATATTTGTGTTATTTGTCATCAAATCTGTTTTAATTTTTTATCTCTTGGTCCAGAAAATAACCATCAGGGATCTGAAGGCCAGTGGAGATCTGGGTCAGAAGGTTCTGTTTGTGAAGGTTGTGGAGAAATCCAACCAATACCAAAGTAAAAACAAAAATGTTTATTTCCATCTGGGAGTCGCTGATGAGACGGATGTCATCAAAGTTGTGGTGTTTGGAAGCGAGCGGTTTCCAGACATAAAGACCGGCCACTTCTACATCATCAGAGATGCCTCCATGGATCGTCAGGAGAACGTTTTGATGGTTACAGACACAACCAAGATGTCAGAGACCGGCTCATTCGAAGTTCCCAGTAACGTGGAGCTGGAAGCTGAAAAACTTATTTTCAGTCCAGTTTACAGCATCAGAGAGATCCAGAGCTTTGAAGACAAGAAGGAAGTGAGTGTTAAAGACACCGTCGGGAAGGTGAGAGTCGTTTCTGGAGCTTCTCATGATCAGCATTTAGTTTTTAGCAGCAGCTTAATTGAGAATTTCAGACTTAATAAATCTGATCAAACCGTCAGAAAGTGACATGATTTATAGCGCCCTCTACAGTCCGGGAACAACAATTATAACTTTTAAACCAACTGGATCTGCCACCAGGACGCTCATCTCCCATCATGCACCTGGAGCAGGATGCTCTCCTGCAGTTTCCTGTTAGTAACCATTAATAACCATGATGGTAGTTTAAAAGCACCTTCTTTCAGCAGGAAGTCATGTTAGTTTCTGACTCAAACTTTCTGGTAGCTCCCCCTGCTGGGGCGTAGAGGTATTAAATCAGATTTGTGTTTTACAGGGAACCTAAACGCATCATACAGCACATCTAAATCTGACGGACGATGGACAATAAAATAGTTGATTATAAAATTGTTAAGTTTGCAAAGTGTTCATTTGTTTACAGAGTCGACTGAATCTTGTGTTTTGGGTTTGAACAGATTGGAGTCATTAAATCCATGCAGATGAAAGCAACACAAATGATGAAAGACAAGCAGGACTTTGAGCTGGACGACGGTACCGGGTCCATGTGAAGAGGTTTTATTCGTATTAAATGATGTTCCTTTATGTGTCATATAAATGTAATGTTTTTTGAATCATTGTCAAGGTGTTTTTTCTGTGCAGCTGGAAATGGTGTACAAACTAATGAACCAAGATGTGTCTACTGAAGTAAGTTTCCAGGGTTGTTGAACTTCCCCAGACAGTTATTTGGGAACTTGCTGTTTTTCCCGTGGCCTTCCCTGCATGGAGACAGAGTGTTTAGTTTTCACCTCCCATAGACATTACAGTGAATAAGCATACAAGGTTTCGTATGTTTTCCTTTGTTTCTTTTGTTTGGTCTTCGAAGATCGAGTCTCCGCCTCGGTAGTAAAGAGAGATGAATAAAGTAACTATGCAACTCTGGGTTCCTCAGAGCGGATCCTAATTTGTGCCTAATGCAGTATATTTCTTGCTCTCCGTCTGCAGATGTATTAAAGATTGTTTTTGCTCCCTAACTTTTGTCTGGATCTCAGTCTCTGAATTGTGCACTTCACAATTTGGTGCATTGGCCGGGAACCTTCGCTGGTTCATCCAAGTCGGTGGACCTCAGGAGAGGGCTGATCACCAAACCTTCAAACTGGTTTTCCTCCAAACCGCTGGCAGGTCTGTCTGAGAAAAAGAGGACTCTTCTGGTGCTCCACCGGGTTGGATCAGCCACAACAGGATAAAACAGAGCTGAGAGGCTGCAAAACATCTTAAGGTTGGTAGGTCTATTTATTTAGACTGAGTTGTAGGTCTGTCAATTTTAGACCGAGTCCTGTAGGTCTGTCGATTCAGACTGAGTTCCCCTAGGTCTATTAATTTAGACTGATTTCTGTAGGTCTATTAATTTAGACTGAGTTTGTAGGTCTATTAATTTAGACTGAGTTGTAGGTCTATCAAATTAGACTGAGTTGTAGGTCTATCAAATTAGACTGAGTTGTAGGTCTATCAAATTAGACTGAGAATTGAAGTCAACGTTTCAAATAAACGTTTTAAATTGTAAGAGGTTTGTAAAATTAGAGAATGGGACTTTTCTCTTCTAAAGAGCCTAGTGATGGATTTAGTAATTATGTTCCTCTTGGGCCGATTGTAGAGAAGATGATTAGAAAACATGGGGAATCATGTGTTCAGTATTTGCCACAATGGCATCTTAAATTTGGATTTCCTAAATATGGGTAATTTGAACCCGAGCATTTGATGGAATTGGAAGAAAAATTAGTGCTACAGAAACAACAGCTGCTGAAACAAAAAAAAAAAATCTCACTTGACCATTTACAAATAATGTATGCACACACGGACACACTTAGAGTTTGGAAACAGGAATCACAAAACAAACAAGAGCAGAAAAATGAGAAAGCTAATGATTGTTTTTCTCTCTTCCCAACATGTAAACCTGCTGCGATGAGCTTGCTTCCAGCGGCACCAACAGGTCCACCTGGCATCGCTAGACACTATCCAGCTCTTCCTCCTTACCAACCATCAGCCTCACTGAGGAAAGACTTTTTTTTTGGACATTGATGACCATTATCCCTACGGCCCGAAGACTGAGGAGGAAGACACTATGCCTCCCCTGGAGGGGGAAGAAGAAAAGACTGTTTTTACTGCAGTTGCTGAGAACACCCGGATGAGAAAGAAACAGCAAGAAACTTTACAACACCACCTAAGCCTTCACCAGGTGCTTCGACTGATCTTCAGTGTCCCATGTATGGACCGTGAGGTTGAAGAGACCCAACTACACAATTCTGCCAACTCACCATGCTTCATCAGGCTGCCCTGAACATCCACAGCCACAGCAAGGACAGTATGGGCAGTCACAAAGCAACACACTGCCTGATGTTTGTTTAATCCATGGACAACAAGGACATTGGCCAGAGACTGCTTCCAGAGACAATTCAGAAACAACCAGGAGGTTGCACAGAGCCCGAGGAGGAAGATTTGATGTCAACCATAGAGGCTTCCCCAGATGGTCAAGTTTTTCCTTTAAGAGGTGGATTTACAGGACATCGTGGAGGGTATTCCAGCTAACTAGACCTGGTGCCGTTGGAGCAACCTCTGGTTCAGCAAATCGCAAGTACCAACACACACAACACATATGTAAAATATACAACTGAAATACACAAAGTCCTTCCCATGCTCACTATTTCTGTCTATTGAATGTTCAGACACGGGGCTACGTGTCCAAAACAAACTCCAACTGATTTAATTTGTTCAAAACACCAAGTCTGCTCTACATTTTTAAATGGTTGATTACAGACCGACAATCTGAGGCCATTTTGCAAATGGCTCGTGAAAGAGTCCCTCCCACTTCCACTGTGATGTAGATAGATCCAGCTGATGAGCTGGGTGACTCCTCCCTTCTGACACGCCCTCTTTGCTGCATGCAACTCAAATATGCTGGTCCGCTGAGACCTGTTTTTTTTTTTTGCTGATTGTCACCTGAGCAACTGAGCTTCTTCACACTGACTGATTATTTTTTTTTTTTTTTTTTTTCCTTATGTCTCTTTGGCAAAACATCCAGTAGACGGGTGGAAAACTTTTGGCCCTCTAGCAAAAGCAACATATGAAACAACTGATTGTATATGTCACTCAGAAAGTATTTATTTTTTGCCATCACCATGATTTGCTTCTTACAAATATGATGGGGCTTAATAATAAAAAAATAATAATAAAAAATGAAAAACCAATTCACATAATGCCCAAATCAAATTCTTACTATCCCAATCAAAAACAATACACTTTCAAACCAGAAGCTGTGAAGAAACTCAGTGCTCCTGATCAACCTGTTGAGTGGAGGTTTGTTCAAGATCTTAGAGAAGTTAACAGGTCTGTCATTGCCAGAGCAGCTATTGTTCCAAATCCATACACTATTTTATCACAAATTCCAACAGGCAGCATGTTTTTCACAGTCATTGATTTAGCAAATGCTTTTTTCAGTGTTCCAATTCACCCAGAAAGCCAGTTTCTGGTTCACTTTTCAGTTTAATGATAAACTTTACACATTCACAAGACTTTGTCAGGGCTACTGTGAGAGTCCAACATTTTTCACCAAGCATTAAATGACAATCTTTCACATTTGACACTCGCACCACAGACAGCTCTTTTGCAGTATGTTTGATGATTTATTATTGGCGGCTCCCAATCAAAATCTGTGTGTTTCTGAAAGCATGAAATTACTTCATTTCCTAGCAGAAAATGGTCATAAAGTCAAAAGCAAATTGCAGTTTGTGCAGCCTTCTGTGTCTTTTCTGGGTCATGTGATTTCCTCCGAAGGCAGAGCTATCTCCAGCAACCGCATTGAAGCGATTTGAACATACCTCTCCCTCAAACGAAGAAACAACTGATGTCCTTTTTAGGACTCTGTGGCTATTGTAGGCATTTCATACCGGGTTATGCTGAGATTGAGAAACCTCTGAGAGAAGTATGTCATGACAAGGGATTTGGATTATTAATGAGCTCACACATTTTACATAGGATTGAAGTAAAATGTGAATTGAAGTTGGTTTGACGTCATTCAAAGCGCTGAAAAAACACCTGCAGACACCTCAAACTCTGGGATTTTTCCCGATCTTTCCTGAATGTTTTATAGAGATGGTTAGATGAGAAGAGGGTTTTTTGTTTTGCTCCAAAAACATGGTGATAAATTGAAATTGGTCACCTATTTTCCAAATTAGATCCTGTAGCAGCCGCATTGCTACAAAGTTTGCGCGCAGTGGCAAGTGCAGAAAGGGCTGTTATGGCATCTCCAGACATCGTGGTATTCTAATCTGATTTTGTACGCTTCCTACGATGTCACACTAATTTTGAGCACCTATCTGCTGTCAGATAGGCTGCATTATATACGCGTTGGTATACCATATCATATTTTGGTTACATTTCAATTGACCAGAGGTAATTCCTATACAGCTGTGATAAATTTGAACTTAGACAGATTAAAATACCTTTAGTTGTCCAGGGACTATTAGTTATAACAAAACTGTTTTTTTTTAATTAATGAAGTGCTTCAGCAGAAACATGATAAATTATGTGCTGTAATTCTAAATTATATTGAGATCTCTTCTGTATGTGTACACAAAGCTGAATTTTAAAACGGGATCCTGTACATTAGAGTTGAATTTAAACATTGATATATGTTGTTAAAAGTAATTTTCTCTATTTGAAGCTTCATGTAAATTTGATCATTTCAATTTAAGACAATATGTATATAAAATGAGGACTGACTGTAAATATTTGACTGTAATGCAAATTTGACTGACTGACTTCTGATGGCGTTCAACGTTTGTTTGTGTCTGTTTCATGTTGGAGTGAATGTTTGTTTACATGTACTGTTTGTCTACATGTTCTGTGTTTAATAAACATTGAACTAACATGCGCATGCGAAGAAGATAAAAACACAATCTTATTTGCAGGATTTCTCAAACACCGGAATGGGACCGCTGATGAAACCTGGAATTGTTTTAATAACATGTAATGACAACATGATTAACTACTGAATTTCTCTAACAGATCAATTAAAGACGACAGGCCCAAGGAGGACGACTTGGGCCAGCGAGCAAACCATTACATAATGTCCAGCCTGGAGATTTTTTGTTTACTAAAAATTTCAGGAGGAAGAACCGGCGTTCCCACAGCTGGCTGGAACCGTTTCAAGTGCTTTTGACGACACACACCACTCTTAAGGTCGCGGAGGGGTCGACCTGGGTTCACACCAACCACTGTAAGAAGTTCACATCCTGCGGGTTCGTCACATCCTGCGGGACCAGTCCAGAGCCCAGAGAACGAGGCTCCACCAAGCACCTCTGAAAAAATAGAGTTGCCAACACAGCTCACTCAGTAGGTTGGACCACGCCTAGCTGAGGCAGCATTAAGAACATGGATCGGCCGAGGCAGCGTCACAGAACACCAACATGGATCAAGGATGCCATACTATGCTGATCACACGCCTGCAGTTCCAATAGGCCCAGCAGTATTCACCAGGAGCAGACGCTCTGCCAACTGTGAGATACAATCGTGTGGAGAAAAGCAGGCTTCAAAAGGGGCATTCAGGTGTGTGTTCCCCCTGATTCTTCAGTTGGCCTCATGATTCCATGGTCAGCCTTGAACACCAATACTGGATCAGGTAAATTGACAGAACTACCAAAATTGTAGGTGGTACATGACGAATGAGGTTAGGATCACGTCCTGGTCTGCACTCGTAACAGATGAGGGAAACATCTGGACGCCGAAATGGGGAACAACTCCCTTCGCCAGACAACATATGAAACTTTTTACGATGGGTAAAACGACGCAGACTACACATCACGGTAAACACAGTGAAAGGTTCAATCATACCACCCTCGTCTTTGCCCATATTATCTAACTGTTGGAGGTTTTACCTATACTCATTCATCAGGAAAGGATCCACAATTTCTTTTTGTTCTTTGTGAGGGGGGAATGTTACTGTTGTCTCACCATATTCTCCCACAGGTATTACTGT